TAGATAATAAATTATATTTTTCAAGTTTTATCTTATTTTATTACGTTGTTGTGACTCAATTGCGTAGAACGTCAGGTCAAGTTTGGTGGGGTGGGCCACTTACTGGGGTGGGCCGCTTACTGGTGGAACACGTTAGTTGTAGTTTGCTTACCTAATCTGTGCATAGTGACAGACTACATTCCGGCCTTGGCGTGATTATGTTCAAAGTGGGGGAATACGTTGCAAACGAGGAAGGGGTCTTGATATTCTGCTTTTCTTTTTTTTATCATTAACGTCACTCTTTTTATTTTTCTAAGAATTGTTTATATCACTAAAAATTCTAGTGTCATGTTGGTGGCCTTCTTTCGTAGTCCTCTCGTACCACTACACCGTCCACATGTCCACCCATGCCGACCACACCACTTCGCTATATGGTAAATGATATCACATATAAATTGTCAAAACTCGCTCAAAAAACAAACATGGACCCCTCTATAGCCTCGCCTCTACTACCGGTGCCGCTTGCGACTGACTCTGCTCCTTCTCCTCCGTCCTTATCGCATCCTCAAAGACCTGCATGAACCTCCAAACATCACCGAAAGTATTGTACAGCGGCACGGGCGCAACACGGATAATACCCGGTTTCCTCTTGTCACACACAATGCCGTTGTCCACCAGCCTCGCGCTAGCCTCGTCAAACTTGTCTTCAGGCAGCAAGACACTGAGCTGCGCGCCACGGAAACGCGGGTCCGTAGGTGTGATGATTTGGAACGGAAACTCGCCATTCTTAATGTTTCGTGTGGCGATTTGCGAAAGGAGGTATTCGGCGTAGGCAGTTAGTAGTAATGATCTTGAGCGCAAATTGGCCATGGATGTCTTTTCGAAAACGCTGAGAGCGCCGGATAAACAGGTGAGGTCGACAATCGAAGGATTTGAGCACTGGAAGCCCTGCGCGCCGGGTGTAGGAACAAACTTGTTGTCCATCTGGAAGCGAGATGACTTGTCGTGGCCGTACCAGCCCTTGAGTCCCTTGTAGTGGTCGTTGTTGCCGTGCTTCTCGTGGATAAAGACACCTGCGATGGCACCGGCACCGGCATTCATGTACTTGTATGTACACCAGCACGCAAAATCGACGTCCCATTCGTGGAGTTTGAGTTCGACATTGCCGGCGGCATGGGCGAGGTCCCAGCCAATTGTGATGTTGTGTTTCCGTGCATGGGCAGTGATGACTGGGATATCAAGGAGTTGGCCGCTGTAATATTGGATTCCAGGCAGCATAATGAGTGCAAGCTCATCGGCGTTGTCATCAATGAGTTTCAGAATGTTCTTTGTTGTCATGGTATATCCATCGTCTGGCTCTACCAGAAGCATCGACTTCTTTGGGTTTAGTCCGTGCCACTCGATTTGCGACTCAATCGCATACCAGTCGCTGGGAAACGGCCGCCACTCGCACATTATCTTGTGCTTCTTCTCAGTTGGCTTGTAGAAAGCCGCCATCATCAAGTGCAAGTTGATGGTCAATGTGTTCATTGCAACAATCTCAGAAGGCGATGCACCAACAACGTTGGCCATTTTTCTTGAACATGCAGCAGCCATGTCTTGGTAAGGAGTGATTGGCGAGTCCTCAAGGGCGGTGAAATGGCCGCCAACGGCTATTGAGCCCCATGTCTTGAGGTATGCGTTCAAGTGTTCGCCGACAGCTTTTGGCTGGAGACCCAGCGAGTTGCCGCAAAAGTAGATGGCCTCGTCCTCTGCACTCGCTGCTGGGTTTGCGGTTTGTGCATCGTCTTTGAGAGTCTTTCGCTTGAGCTGCGCCTTGCTAGGGACAATAAATTCGGGGCGGAATGTATGCGGTATTTCGGTACTCTCATCAAGGGTCTGGGCAAAGTCGAATGACTCGGCATTTGTGGGCCATTGCGGCTTTTGGCCTTGGCGGAGTTGTTCGATAGCGCTCGTGGTGTCCATGGTGATCGACCGAAATGGCAGTGTAATACAACGTTCGGATGACGACTGAAAGACCTGTGTGTGAGGTCGTAGTGAGAAAAAAGACACTTAATATATGCTGGCTACTTCGATTACGTCTTCTAGACTCCGGCACTTGGTCTGGCAGATATGCATTAGGCCAGCACCTTCTTTTAGTCTTCCGACGCGCATCCGACGCGCATCCGTCCGCCTTCCGATCCGACGCCTTGAAATCTTTCGAGGTTTGGATACTTGGTTGGCCTAACAAAGTGGGCCAATGTGGTTTCATGATAAATGCGGTCTTCGCCGCCCTGCATATTCAAAGCCTTCTAGAATCCATGAAACGTTACTTTGGTTTGCTTCTGCTTTGTTTTTTTCACAATGAGTCCTCACAAAATTTTCAGTCTACCATGCACTTCTGCACTACCGGAGTACGGTATATCTCAAAACGGCTTTCTTCCTGCTGAGCCACCACTGTCCCGACTATCACAAGACTACTACCGCCCATGGGAACAGATCATAGAGAAACTCCCTCTGCTTATCGAGACTCAGCAGATACGGCAGTCTGTTGATGAGTTGCCGATCCTTGATGTATCTCAACTAGACAATGAGGCAGAATGGCAAAGAGCCCACTCAATGCTAGCTGTCATGGCTCAAGGGTACATTTGGACAGGACCTGAACCATCAGAGGTAAAGAGAGCATCCTGCTTGACTGAGACGAAGATGAGTACTAACCAGATACTCAGCGGTTACCTCCTGCAATTACTATCCCTTTCCTTCGGACTGCCGAGCACCTTGAGGTACATCCCGTCGCCACATATGCAGCACTGAACCTATGGAATTGGAGACCATTAACCAACGACGCCGACTTGACTCAGCCGGAGAATATGGTTGCTCTGTATACAGCTACTGGCAGTGATGATGAATCGTGGTTCTTCATCATCTCAAATGCCATGGAGGCAAGGGCCGGTCCACTGATCGAGACCATGCTCGGTGCGATCGAAGCCGTCGAAAAGGATGATGCTGCGACAGTGGTGCATGCTCTGCAGTACTTCAAGAGAGGTGTGGATAGTATTGGACAACTTCTAGAACGTATGGACGAACGATGCGACCCTCATGTGTTCTACCATACCATCAGACCATTTCTGGCCGGAAGCATGAACATGGCGGCTGCTGGTCTGCCAAATGGTGTCTTCTATGATGAAGGCAATGGTAAGGGTACATGGCGAGCTTACCGAGGTGGCTCCAATGGCCAGTCTTCCCTGCTCCAGTTCTTCGATGCCGTGCTCTCGGTAGACCATTCCAGAAGTGGCGGTTTCCACGCTGAGATGCGCGGATACATGCCCGGCCCCCACGCCCGGTTCCTGGATGATGTTGAAGCCATTGCCAACATTCGCAGCTATGTAAACGAACATCAAGAGAACGATGTGCTTCTTTCAACGTTCAACGCAGCTGTTGCAGCACTCAGTGGTTTCCGCGACAAACACATTGCTCTTGTAACGAGGTACATCATCATACCAAGTCATTCAGCGAAGCCGGCAAGCCATGTAAAGAGGAGAGATATCGCTTCTGCCTCTACAGAAATGGTTGCAGAAAAGCCAAAGACACAAGAGCTAGTCGGTACCGGAGGCACCAAGTTGATTCCATTTCTACGGACATCAAGAGACGAAACCAGCGAAACAAAAGTCGTACATTGAAGTCCAGATGTAGGAAGTTTTGCGAATATTTTGGATACAAACACACGGTCGATTGAACTACGGGAAGAAGGTGTTGCCCATCTGTTGATTATGGATAGGGAAGAGCGGTATATCCGCCACAGACGCACCGTCCAGATTATAGGTGCCTGGTTGGAGGAAATCCTGTAGACCTTGGTCATTCTCACTAGGCCACGGTAGAGCAAAGAAGTCGGCGTCATAGATGGTCCAGTCAAGCGGAGCTTGTGCAGGAGGGTTTTGCAGAGTAGCTTGTGTGGAGGATGGCAAGCCGGGCTCCGGTCGTGGCTGAGGGCCTTCGATTGGATGGGCTCGAGGGGTTTGCTCCGATGGTAACAGACCAAACAATTCAGAGGAAGCTTGCTTCCGCTTTCGGCGCAAGTGTAGTTCCCTTTTCTTCGCGTGTGCAGTTGTAATTTTGAGCAGGGACTGAGCAGCATGCGAGTATTGACGAGCATGATGATCAACCGCACCAAAATAGTCCATGCAGGCAATTGCATCTTTACAGCTTTCCTCTAAAAGAAGGCCAGAGTTCCCGAGAATACCGACAGCTAGAACCAGTGTGGCAGTGAAGAGCCAAGATCTAGGATCGATTAGCAAATATCAGTGTTAATGTGCGTTGTAACTTACACTACCAAGGGCATCCTGCGTGGCAATTGATCTGCTTTTATTAAAACCTCTAATGTATCAATCAATACTGAAGCCGCGTCAATTGCAGCATCCGCATATTTGCGCTTCTCTTGATGATCAGCAGGAGTGCCTCCATTCTTGAGTGAGGCGCCCATGTACTCGTAAAGTTCGTAAATAAGGAATGGCCGTGTCAATAGCATTATGCCATAGTAGTAGGAGCATAAAGTGGAGCAGGCGCCAACTACTGCCTCACGAGATGGTTGTCGAGCTGTAATATCTGAGAGATTTCCGAGCCATTTGGACGCCCAGTTTTTCAGTTGCCTCGAGACGTAGTCGGCGATCCGTAGAGATATCCGCTTGCGAGAGTACACTTCGACAACGACACGTTCGACAATCATGAAGATTTGCACACTCGCATCCAGTATGTTGGCACTGGTATCAGACCGTATGTTTTCAGGATTGGCGTATTTGACAGTGCAGTCCACATCAGATGTGGAGGGTGGTCGACCTAGGACATTGCTGGATGGCGAACATCATATGTCAGTGTATGTTTACTATGGAAGCCTGAATGAATGAGGGAAATCATAATGACTCACCTGATGAGTTGGTCAATGACGCGCAAGCTCTTCCAAATACGGTCGCGTACCGATCTGATATTCTCGCCGAAAGAAGCGTTGACTTCGGTTCTGTGGAGGCCAATTGCGTATGCAGTACGTGCAGCCAAGGCTAGCCATCGTAAGCAGGTGACACCTACAAACACTTGTACATACGACTACTTACAAAAGTACAAATATGCACCATTTGGCTGCGACGCGCGAAGCATAAAAATAGCTACTAATGTGAAGCCCTGAACGGTAGAAACGTTCATATTACTGCACATGAACTTTAGAAGTATGTTGAGCGCGTGTTTGAACCAGGCCTCTGCCTTGTCTTCATACTTGTCTTGAGCACCGATAGCGAGCACAAGATAGAAGACAGCGGCAGCGACATCGTCTGGGCTAGACGCCTGGTTGCTCGCCCAGTTTTTCAGTTCTGGTAATAGATCTTCGCGTTGAAATAACTGTACGAGACCACTGCTGGCTGCAATGTACTCTTGGACTAGGGCATCTACATGTTGCAACTCAATGGGTGGACATTGTTGTTGGCCGGCCAATGGGGGACGCGTGATTTCGATAATGGGATCCCTCGCGGCCTGCACCGAAACTCCCGAATCGACTTCGGATGTGATGAGATGTTTGACCGTTTGCAGAAAGGACAGTGGGGCGCAATCGCCGATGAAGATTAGTTTGCCTTGTGCGTCACGAAGTATACGGCCTTCCAGAGGGACCGCGGTATCGCCCTGTTGGTCGTCTCTACTCAGTGTAGGTGAGAGTGATGTTGTAATTTCTGCGGCTTCATGCTGGTATCGTGATCCTTGAGAGTTGTTTTCACGAACATTGTGTTCTCGGTTTTCCGGCGTATGGCCAGCGGATAGGATGCGACGAAAAGACGAGCTGTCAGTATGAGCGCGTATAGTTGGAGATTCCACCACCGAGTGAGCTTGATTTAGTGGAGTTGAACCGCTGAATGTACATGTAGCTTCACGCTCTTTGCGTACACAGTATGCACATGGTAATTCACCGTCGCACTTGACTTTTCTCCTTCTACACAAATCGCATGCTGCAGCGACGCGGTCAATACGACGCCGCTTTTCGGATGGCGTTACCAGCTGATCTGGTCGTGTGGACATTGTGAATCTATGACAGCAGGAATGCGCTTGTGGGTAGTTGGTAACGGGAGGCAATGTGGTTGACGGAACTTCCGTCGTTATTGTGGTAGCCGTCCGACGCGTCGGATGTCCAGTAGCTTCGGCTTGCGGCTGTTAATGGTGGGCTTGGCATTTCTTCAGCCGAGAGAATGCGTCATTGTGCATGCGAGCTTCCGATGCTCGAATCACTACCCGGCTACAAACAACGTGTTGGTAGTACTTAACCGATGTAGCGGTAGAAAGACAACTAAGGAGGTCGAAAGAAATCCATTACCTTTTTTCCTAATAACAACAAGTGGCTTTTTTACATCATCTTCGAAAGGTACAATAATAGCGAAGTAAGACATAACTAGCATTATTCACTTATCCATTCCCAATCATTTCTTGCTTAAAAGTCATCCAAGTTTCAATAGTTACGTAAAAGCCAAGATGCAAATCCGACACACATCCAGTCCAGTCCCTCAAGGAGAATAATGCAGTCGAGCAGCAGTCACCACCAAATCCATATTGATCACGATAGTATCAAGTCTTTCCTCAAAAAATTCCTTCAAATAATGTATTCTTCTTGCTATCCTCCCGTAAATGAAATCTATCCGTATCCCAGAAACAACATCCCAAAGCACGCCCTGACACCTTTCCAAATATTCTACCCAAACCCATCTACCAAAACAACCAACACAGAAAAACCTTCCCTCCAATCCCCACAACCCCTCAACTAATATCCGCCAACACCAAATCCACAACAACAAACCTTCCCAACCACCTCAGCGCAATCTCCTTCGCGTCCTCCCCCTTCCGCACCCACACCTGCGTCTCCGGCAAACAAGTGACCCAATTTAGGTAATCAGTCCATTCTTCCGCCATGGACTCGAGTTCCCACTGGCCGGTGCGCATGTTGAGATTGCGGTGGTGCCAGGGGGTTTCGTTGTTGGTGTTGAGTGAGTGTGTGCCGCTGGACTGGCAGGTAAGTGAGCGGAGGGTGGTGGTGTAGAAGTTTATGCAGTTGAAGTATGTGCGCATGTTGTTTATTGTGATGTGGGCGGTGTGGAGTTTGGGTTGGAGCGAGTTGGTGAGGAGTTCGGCGAGTTGGGGGGTTGGGGTGTTGGATGGGATATGTTCGGCGTCTGAGATCACTTCCTTCAGGAGGGTTATGCTGGTCTCCATTGGTTTGAAGAGGATGTGGTAATCCTCTGGGTCGTCGAGGTCGAAGGCTTCTTCGAGATTGAGCAGTTGAGGGCCGTGGGTGGGACAGTCGGCCATTGCTTCGCGCCTAGTGAGCTGCGAAGTGTGATAGCAATAGCCCATCGAGCGGTAGTAGTCCTCCATCTCGGTGCAGTGTTTGAGCAGTTTCTTGCTGTGCTCGATTAGTTTCGCTACAGCCTGTTGGTATAGCTCAGGGAGCTCCGAAGGCTCCGCAACGTTGAGGTTAATGCAACCTTGGCACATGGTGGTAGATTCTGTTTGATTTATGAATAGTCTTTGAAGTGTGGATTTTGTTAGAGTCGTAATGGTGATTTTGGTTAATGTAGTTGTAGTTGAATGACCTGAATATAGTATATAGGAGAAACGAGCATTCGAAATATATAGTCGTAAGTTCCATGAGAACTTAGTGAGTGTTGTATATCTGCCACTGTACGGTGAACGGTGTGTTGATATAGTGAATACATGATTGCCCGGTTAGAACAGGCAACACTGCCTGCTATTGGCAACACAGTGTCGAAGCCATGCCCACTTAGAATCACATTCTGTGCTTTCACAACCCTCTTTCGGTAATTCGTCGTGAATTCCGCCCATGTGGAACTTTTATTGGCAGTGAAAATATACAATTAGTGCGCCTTAGTTAGTGTCAGCCGTCATATTCCAATGTACAGGTGAGGGCCCCATGAAAAGTGCATGGATAATTTCCCGACAAAAGTATGTATTGAACATGAGTGAGCAGAATACAGTTTGGTATATACAAACAGGCTTCGATATTCTATAAGCTAGGCAATGACGCCTCGATGTAAAGATGGTGGAATTCTAGGATGAAGAAAAAATACAGTGAAGAGGTATATAGTGATGAAGGATGCTTGCTAAAACCGCTGTCTCAAACAGCAGACTCCCATTCTTTGTACCATGATAAACATGAACAACACCTAGCAATGCAGCAATCACACTACTGATTACCGCCTACAGCAATTGTAAACAGCTGCGGGCTTCCATCAAAGATGGTTCCTGCAACATCCTGACCACCGTCTGGGACTACATCATCGTAGGGGAAAGCGTAACCGCGTCCATCCTTCTGAATCTCGTGCAAAATGCGTGAGTAGTGGTTCGTCGTCGGGTCTTTGTAGTATTGGCTTGGGTTGCTGCCATTAGGAAATTGATTGCCAGGTGTGTTGAGTAGAATACTTCTGTTGAAGGCAGCTGCAAGACGAGGAATGACTGCATTGCGAGCCTGGTTGGAACCGGTTTGGAAAGGTCCAGTGCTGCAAGTAAAAATGTCTCTTGCTGTCGGCGCAGTGAAAGAACCCGCCTCGCCAAGCTGAAGCTCGTTGCCCTGGACGCGACCTCGCAGGTTACCAGCAGCAGCTTGTGTGTTGATGATCATATCTTCATTGCGGAACTTGTTCCACACTGCTTGGACGTAGCCATCCCAGTAATTACCCCACGCATCCGCATTGCCGACAAGTAGGTTGTTCGGACTCAGAACTCGCAATGCACGGCCATTATTCTCGTAAATCAACTTGTCCCAAGGGCGCCCATCACTTTTTGCTTGGGCGCGTAGTCTGTCCTGCAACACTTTCGGTCCATCAGGGCCCATGCCTGGTACGCTCTGCGTCTGACCTTGGGTGTTGGTAAGGCTCATCGCAACTGGGATGCTGACAAAGTCGACATAACTGATGTTAGCAAAAAGCTGTGCATCGTTGTAGGTAAATTCGCAGAAGGTCCAGTCGATGTTGAAGTTTGGATCACTAGGGTTGGTTACGCTGGGCTCGACGACAGCAGGGCCGGGGTTGAGCCGGAAGGTGAGCTTCGCACCGATGCTGAACCAGATGCGACCACCAGCAATCTTTGGTATTCTGACATTAACAGTATTCCCGGGGTTACCGAGCGGAATGGCGACGTCAGCCTGGAGTGGTTGCAGGATCTCACTGGGCCCTACGGGATAGTACACAGTCTGGCCGTCTGACTGGATAAAAATCGGCGTGTTTCCCCGCTCGAGGGCGAGGCCAGTGATGTATGCATATACTGTGCTGGAGCTAGACTTGTTCTGGAGTGCGAGCTGAAGGGTTCCGGGGGCAGCTTCAGCTAACACTTGTTGTTGGTCACCATTGGCCTGGGACGCCGGCGCTGGCGCTGGTGCTGACGTCTCGATGAGACTGTCGGCTTTGGCAGGGGCGGAAGGTTGTTCTGCCGGTTTCGATTTGCGGTTCTGGAAGCTCTGGCGACGTTTGTTCAAGAAACTCTTGAACGCCTTCATGTTGGACGGTTGTCAATTCCTAGGATAACAGGTGTAGAAGCAAAAAAACAAGGATAAGTATATCGAGGGCGCTGTTGTTTGAAAGGTGAAGAGAGAAAGAAGAAGCCGACAATGCGAAGGATGCTTCGAGGTAAAGTCAATGCTTAGACGCGTAATGCATGGAGATAACAAGGAGATTTATACATGGATGACAGCAAAACGCGTCGTCAACAACGTGGAATTCAAGGCGTGAATACAAGGGTCCAGCTGATGTCACAATGCGATGGCCCTGCCGGGGTGGGTAAACCGGTTAGCGGTCGGCGCCTGCTCGCCAAGAGTCAGCAATGGCAGTTAAATGGTGGCAGCCAACCACAGCGCGGAAACCATCACCACCATCTTGCGGCCCGATCGGGAAGGCCCATGTCAAAGAAGCACGGGAGATGCACTCGTGCCTGGCAATGCTGACTTGCGGGGTGGTGGGATTGCGCCATGGCGAGGCTGCGAGCTGGTATTGGATAGAACCTACTAGTAGCTGTCAGCATAGAGCGATGAAGAATGGTAAGCAGCAGTACGGGAACTACTGTCTATGTAGGGCTCCAAGCACGTGACCCTCGTAAAAAGGTCTCACATGCTAGCACTTAGTGCTTAAGCCATGCGCACGAAGCGCCCAGAGACGTTTTCGCGGTTGGGGCGCGAGCCAGAGCATTGCGTTTTTAGTGCCTAACCTGACATCTCGTGAACTGCTTTAGCGTAAGAGTGATCACCCACGCCACATATACTGCCGGGAAGCCATAACTACCCTACTCGTATCCCTACTAACTGAGCTATCCCAAGCTCTTAGGCTAGCAAATAGGGATGTGTAACGTGAAGACTTCCCATACCTATGCTTTCCAAGCTTCATCAGTAGCGTTCTTCTGTGGACAAAAGCTGGCACTGATCGCCGCCAGCTAGATCTTCGATTTTGGTATGCTTCGGTCACGCTGTAAGCCACCGAGAACTTGCACGAATGTGGTCGAGTCGTCCGAAGCAATCATATTTCATCTTGGTATGCGAGTAGGCCCAAGCGTAAAGCTCCAGTGGTGTATGACTATTTTCTCTTCTCACTTGGTCCATCTCACCATCACCCCGTGGTGATGCTCTGTCATGGGTGCACCAAGTTGGTGTCTTTGGGTTACATTTAGAGGTGTGGTCGCCGGGGCTGACAACACGTGGTATAGGCCTGTCCTGGATCCATTTACGAAAAGAATTGCGCAACAAACGCCGAGGCTAGTAAGTAATTTCTTTTCCCAGTGTGTAGCGCTAGGCTAATCATCTGATCTTGCCTACCAAATGCTAGAATGACGCACCACTACCAAAAGCCATGTCTGAGTAGCTGTCATAGCATTGGTCACCCCAGATGCCTCCGGCCATATCGAAGAACTGCTCGATGTCGAAATCTGCACTTCTCATTAGCGCAAACGGGTCACTGCTCCCATTGGGAGCGCCATCCATCTCCGCACTGCCTTCGCACGTGAAGTTCGCATCAGCCAGTGCGGGGTACTGCGCCTCTGATCCATGCATGGGGCATACAGTTGACATGGCAGAGATTGGACACGAGGCCTCGGCCGTACCTGTCTCCGTCGTCGCCCTTAATGGAGATTGCATAGGTTTCTGCATTGGTGCTTTCGGTCGGATCTTACGGATATACCAAGTCTTCGTCAAGTCCATCATGAAACACATCGCTCGCCAGAAGTCGCTGTGGGGCTGCTTCACCTCGTCGTATGTTGATAGTTTTTGCATTCGGAAGCAAAGAGATTCGAGACACAGCTCAAGACGCACTCGCTCTTGAGCTGCTTGCGCATCCCAGCCGCAGGCAGCATGGTCATCGTTAGGCATACACAGCCTGGCTACCGTCATGATGACCGACGGCAAACGCATCCACTCAGAGAACGATATGAAATGGTACTCGTTAGCTGGAAAAGATAGAAGAGTATCCAAGAATTTCTTCCCAGCTTCCAGTGCAGAGAACAAAGAGTTGAGCTGTGCCGATTGTGGTGGCGGGGGAACGTTCAGTGCATGTGGGCGAAGGGAGATGCTGTGCAACAGTGTCTTACTGAAAGAGAAGGAAAGCTCGAGCACTGTGTAATATAAGCGAAGCCCAGGTAATTCCTTTGACGTAGAAAGATACTTACATCTTTGAGATGCAGAGCAACAGGATCGTGCTTTCCATGCATCAAGTTGGCCTTCTATAGAACGCAAATGCATAAGCATGCGTCCGTCAGATAGTGACAGTTGCGCCGTATCTGCCGTAAACAGAATGTCTTGTATTTGCTCCTCAATCTGTCGCAGGGAGATCAGGTGGCTAATGACTTCATCGGATTCATACTCTAGTTCTTTTCCCAAGCTTTCAGCCGCTTCGGTCATGAAATGTGTATGCTTGAGTAGATTCGGCTTTTGAAAAGCACCGCCTACCCTGCATAATGTCAACAAAGTACCAAACACTCATTGAGAAGAACATACATGGACGAAATGTAGTAGCAACCAAGGAATGTTCTTTGCCTTTCTCGTAAATCTTTTCTAGATGGCGGTGAGGGCCTACCCCGTAGTGGAGGGGTAAAATCGATTGGTTGGTAATCTTGGTGGAGACCAATGTCAAGTGCCAGTCCAATCACAAGGTGGTGTAGGAAGAAGATCTGTTGCGTCTTGTGGCTGAAAACAAAATGGTACCTTTTGTGTTCAGCATATCGCAAGCTATTCACGTAGAGGACAAGTACCAGGATAGATAAACAAGAACGCTCTGTACTAGCCCAAGCGTCTTCCGAGGACGGACCATTGTGCGATGAGCGAGTTCCGTGCGGTATATTGTGTCAAGCCTCCTCTGTTGCGAGTAATCCTTCCACGATGCTGCTGTCATTATTGCAAGGAAAAGCATTGGCCTCTCTGCATGCAGGTCGGTGCTGGAGAGTTGTTGAGATATAACAACAAATGGAAATGTAATCGACATGGAACGAAATTCCTTCATCAACGATTCTGCTTCGCCTGAAACAAGCAGACTCCGGACAAGCTCATCATCTATGGGGTCTTCGAGTCGCTTTGTCTGCCTGAATGGACCTTCAGAAGGTTGACCAGCAGTTTGTCGATCATCGAAGCCATGTATACCACGGATTTCTTCGAGGTATTGGCGGTCAACTTCAGCATCGTCCGAAGTTCTCCTTAAGCGTGCTTCTGATTGGGATTCAACAGACATCCAACCTCCTGTGACAACTGGTCTTGTCGTCTTTGGTGGAACGGCAGGTGGAATGAACCCTGAGCTAGCCGTGATTTCATTTCCAGATGCACAGACGAGTTTGGCTACAAGCCCATCAATCGTTTGTTCAACTTGAGCAATGCGTCTGAATGGAGTAAGACCCAGGAGATGCTGATGGCAGACGCCGACTTACGAAGGGGCACGTAGCTTTCTTGCTCGTCGGGGCGCGTCAGCCCAGACGCACTCGTTTCCGGAAGTGGAACACCTATGTTATTTTAGCACATTTCTGACATAATTAAACCATCTTTGAGGAACTTTCGCATCCATAGCTATGGTGGAGCAAGTAGTACTTCTGGCATCGACCGGATTGGCTACTCGGCAAACATTTGGTTTTCAGATTCCGACAGCGTTGACACGCTTGTAGAGTCCTTGGCTGCTCCGCCTTTGCAGCGGAATTCCCCTCGTTTTCCCGCATTCAAAATTATTCGTGTGGAAGTTGCAGCAAAAGTAGGGGGTCGGGGAGAGTGTTCAACCCGACACGGAACGGAGAAAACATTCCTACCCGTTCCTCGACCAGTCTAACTGCTTTAGGCTGGGGGCGGAGACGCGGGGACCCGTGGTCGCCTTACCAGATACACAATTCCATCTCCATTGGAACAATGCAAGTATCACTAAAGACATCGTGAACAAGTCAGCGTTTACTGGTTCTTCTGTTGTTTTGATCTGCGAGACAAGCCAGGCAATGGGATCTCCTATGATACATAGTAGGAGGCCTTCGACGATGACCCATTAACCGCTTCTGAGTCCCTGATATTTGCACTCCTTCTACCTCTAAATTGACAAGCCCGCTAATTCATCCACTCGTCTATTTTCAAAGATCATAATAGCCCTAAAATTGCAGCTTTGAAGCCAGCTGCCAACCATACCAAAGCGTTGCGCCAATTGTTATCAGATTTAGATGAATGCTCATCGCATGCGCACGAGAAAACGCCCTATTCAACACTAGCATTTCCTCACTCTTTGAATCGCGTGTTGCTGTTCCTTGCATTAGTTGCATGTCGTACAAACAGCCCACTGGAATTTCGCCTCAAAGATCCTGTTACGGTCTCGAGCAACGAATCACACAGGAGCTCCACGTACCTTGAGTTGCCTTCTCAATCATCAAAGCCCTAGACCGAGGCCCATACAGGGTCAAGTTTAATCCTGCAGTCACTCCGGCTATTGCAAAAGGAATGAAGCTGGCCATTTCTCCGAACGATGAGAATGGTCCATAAGGTGGACGTGTCAGCGCGACGGCGAGCAAAAGCAGGTATTGGGCATTGAAGTAGGCTGGGAAGAGTTTCTTTTGCAAACCCACAAATGCCGGCCTAGGTAGCGCTCTGTAGGTAATCTTCGTTACTATGAAGGTCTGATACAGTTCCGTCCCAATCAAAGCGGAGTAAGTGAGTAAGTGGACCGGTGGAAGAATGGCCGATGCTACGGCGGTAAGCGACATATCGCCAAATAAGGATTTCTAGGAAAATGTCGACTGGAAATATGCGGTATATTCGAGAGCGTACTAAATGATTTTGAGTTGTGTTGCTGCCTGGCGAGCCAGAGGCGGATCGGATATCGCGTCTCAACTAGCTTCCGTGCCGTTTAGTTCTATCCCTACTTAGATATATCATTAGAAGACAAGGCTTATTGCCACTATCTTGAGGATGAGAGGGATTTGATTACCTACCGTGTCTTTTGTGTGGATGTATACGGCAACACCGTCCTGCAGCTCCTAAGGCGTCTTTGTTCGTGAGCTGCCAAATATCTGATCAATCACATTCACGCGGCAGCCATCTAGTCTTCTGATTAGAAACTCTCTAGTCTGTATCCTGAGCAAATAGTGTACCTACATTGCACTATGAGGATCTATCCTCAAAGACGGATCTCTCGGATCAAATTACCGCGAGGTTCCTGGTGATCGGCAATGCACCCCCGCAATGTTTCCCCGCCAAAGTAATTGCACGAATTATTTAGTATCTCTACGACAACTTTAGGAAGAACTGCCGACAATAGAACCGTTTCTTATACTACTGAGAGCATAGTGATGATCTAGTATGAATCCCTTAAATTAAATACATGATGGAAAATGCCTACTACTATTTCCGCCGTCAGCGGTATAAATATGAGACGACTACAGATGTAAAGGCGTACTGTTGCAAGCAGGGCCTTTCTTACTACTTTAAATAGTCGACATCTTTTATCAATCGTCGGATTTCCAAACAAGAGGAAACATATTGCAGCCCCAGTCATGCGTTTTACCCTAATATCCTTACTACCTCTTTCTCTCGCAGCACCAAGCAGCTTAGTACGCGATGCCGCCATCAAACCCATATATTGGCTCCTAGCCGGCGACTCAACAACAGCCACCAGCGGAGGATGGGGCGATGCATTCCTTTCCAAGACCGTCGCTCCAGGATCTTCCGGCAAAAACTACGGACATAGCGGTGCGACAACAGCATCCTTCCGCGCAGGCGGCGACTGGGGCCGAGTAATCAACGACATATCAGCCCACAAGCAAGACTACAAAGTCTACGTCACAATCCAGGTAACCATCCTTGCCTCTTTCAAAAACTCCAAAGAAATATCGAAGCTGACAGTAACAAAGTTCGGCCACAACGACCAAAAAGAAACCTCAGGCGTCTCCCCAGCCCAATACCGCACCAACCTCGCAACCTTCGCTTCGGAAGTTAAGAACTCAGGCGCAATACCCATCCTCGTCACACCACTCACACGCCGCACCTTCAACACAACCACCGACCGCGTCATCAAAAACCTCGCTAGAGAAAGCGCACTCACAATCGACGTCGCTACGTCGAGCAACCTGCATTTCATCGATCTCAACAAGGCATCGACGGCGTACGTCAACGCGATTGGGCAAGCAGGTGCTGACACGTATAACTGGGTGGGAAACGGTAGCACGGCGAGGGACCGCACGCATTTGAATCCGTGGGGAGAGGTGGTGTTTGGGCGGATGGTGAGTGATTTGCTAGTGGAGAAGTATACGTGGGAGTTTAAGGAGTGGACGGTGGGAAATGAGACGTTGAGTCGGCTTATTAGGGAGGGGAAACTTGCTTAGGTGCTTCTTGTGGCTAGTAGGTTTGGGATGCTTCGTGAACAGTCCAAGGAAGGGTCGGAGAGGGGGTATCGTTGCATTGATGTACAACATTAACTAGGAAAAAAGCTATTTGTGTGGACTGAAATGTTCTTGTTGATCACTCAGCTGTATCCTTCGTCATCGTATCCTTCGCCATCGTATCCTCCGCTCGCCCATCGATTTTCTCTCGTTTCTTTCGTGTTTTGCGTACTGGTGAAGCCGCTTACGCTGGAAGGAGGGGTGTCCCAGGGTTGGTACTGGCTACTATTTCCTGTGTACTGGCTACCTTGGGTCGATGATGGAGACGAAATCTCAGCATGTTGGGGATAGGGTACATAGGGCTGCTGTGACGAAGAGCCTTGTGGATAAGGGCAATATGGTCCCTGCGTCGGTTGTGAGAGCCCTGGGTATCCATATGGCTGGAATTGAGCGAATTGTTGGGATTTCCGATGCGGAATTCGTGGAGGATATGACTCGTTTCTTATAGCGATGGGAGTGATTTGTGAATCATAGGAGCCAGACATATGGTGTGGTGGTGGACGAGAAGGCTGGATGTCTACTTCATGATCTTGTTCAGAGATTGAAGAATGCAAGGGTGGCCTATCCATCGAGTAGCTTGACTGTTGATGTTGCTGCTGATACCTAGTGAGTGCTTCCAGGTTTGCAACAGATTTCCGGTTGACAACTTTGCTCTGCCTCTTAAGCCCATGATCAGCACTGCCTTTCTTTGAGGGTTGTACATTAGGTTGAGGTGCAGCAGAAGTGCCTGTCAGTGGGTTTGGTCGTTGTGAATTAGGCAACGGGGCAGATTCTCGTCGTGAGACAATAGCTTCCGGGGATTTTGTACGCAAAGGACCTGGCGGTTGTACGTCGAAATCCTGATAAGCGGAATTTTCAAGCGGAAATGTACCTCCCCTTGTGCCTATTGAAGGATATGGTGTTTCGTGTTCGGCCTCAGTTATGGTTTCTGTAGTTCTTGATCGTGTATGATAAGGTAGGCTCGATGAACTTTGCGAGTGCTGGCCGTATGGAACTCCGTAGTGGTCTGCAGAATCTGCAGCTTCATATGTACCATACCTCGCATTTGATGGCAGTGGTGGTGCTGACGAATGGGAATGTGACCCTACACTCAGACTGGGTGGAATATGGTCATATTTCACTGTTCTGAAACGCTTGACGGTCGGATTGCGCTTACAGCGGTCTTGAGCCTCCTTCAACAGCTTCCGTATTTTCGCCTCTTCAGAAACATTTTCTTCCAGTTGCAAGTCTGTTACGCTGCCCTCATCCGTCTGACCGGATACCGAGACGTTGTCACCTACCCATTTCTCTTCCTCTTTGTCTTCGTTTTCGTTTTCGTTTTCGTCTTCCTTATTTTCCGATGCAGCATCTGAATCCAAGTTGTCTTCCTCGAGATCAGAATTGTAATCTTTTTCCTCGGGCGCATCGATAGCGTCAGATGCGGAGCCCTGAGTTTGATGGCGAGCGTATACATTAGCACCTGCTTTGAGCAATGCATCCACGCAAGCAGCTTGGCGATAGGCGCAAGCCTCGACGAGTGCTTCATCGAGCAGATGATCCGGAGGTTTCATAGTCAGGTATCGGTCCAGGATAGCTTTGTTTCCACGGATCGAAGCAGCAGCGATGGCATTCCGATAAACCCCTCCTTGAACACGGAAATCTGCTCCAGCGTCCAGCAACTTGTTGACGACATCCATGCGGTTGAAGTAAGAAGCTGCTATCAGAGCTGTATGATACTTGCCATCTTTATGATTAACAAGCTCGATCGCCCTATCGAGAATCTCGTCAATCATAGGCAGTTCGGCTTTCATCGCAGCGGTCTGGAGAGCGTCACCGTATTTTCCTCCCTTTGCATGGACATCCGCTCCGTGTTCTATTAACTTTCTGACAACGTCAATGTTGTTACCTTTGACAGCAGCCGCCACAGTTGATCCAAGCAGGCCTCCTGAAGCTGTAGCATTTGCACCGTTGTTGAGCAAATACTCAACAACGGATAAAACACCAGACTGGGCAGCAGCAAGGATCGGGAAGCCGTGAAGGCCTCCACTGGCATTAACATCAGCATGATGTTTGATGAGAAGCTTCACAATTTTTCTATGTCCACCAGCTGCAGCTGCAGACAATGCTCCTCCAAACATGCCATTAGCTGGTCGGACATTAACTGCAGCATTGTGCTTCAAGAGTTCTTGCACAACGTTCAACCAGCCAGCAGCACACGCGGCTTGGAGAGCCGTTCCATATGTGCCCGAAATGGGTTCAGTGATTGTGATGTCGGCACCTGCTTTAACAAGGACATGTATAGTCTCAATGTCTCCGGCCCAGGCAGCGGCCTGCAGGGCTGTTCCATATGGGCCTCCGATAGCGTTGACATTGGCGCCTGCTTCGAGCAAGACTTCGCAGCAATCTTCATCGCCCTCGGCGCTATATTCTTGTCAGCGGCGCTCGAGCTATAAGACGAGGTACTTACGCGGCTGCGTGAAGTGCAGTGCCATATTTCTCGCTTGAGATATGTACATCAGCACCATGCGCCAACAGAAATCTCAGGCCTTCGATATCGCATGCATCCGCGCAGTTGATCAGGGCAGTCGTTCCCCTAGCACAGGCTGCATCTATATCTGAGACGTTCTTGATGATAAGCTCCAGATCTTCGGTGAGTAGAGTTGAGGCAGCGAGCGAGATCACGGGCCAGTTGTCTTCGCCGCCACGCACGTTCACATGAGCGCCGTGTTCGAGCAGAATCCTGGTCGCAGTACTGTCACCTTGTTCAACTGCTGCAATTATGGCGTATGAAAAGTGGCCCGCAAAGGCATTGACATCCGCTCCATGTTCAATAAGAAGGCGAATGGTGGCTTCATTACCCGTATGCACGGCAGCTGGGTATCACAAGTTAGCAAGAAGCACTAGTACAATAGAAGAGTGTTTACCTTGTAGTTCATGGCCGTAGTAACCAATGGGTGCAGTGTTGGTTTTGGCTCCACGATCCAGTAATAACTTCACGTTGTCGGCATCGCCGAACCATGCAGCCGCCTAGAGAGTCAGCATCGAAAGACTGCTACGTCGATTATGGGATATACCTGAAGAGCTGTACCATAGTCCCCTCCACGTTTATTGACATCAGCTCCTTTGTCTAGCAGGGCTTTCATGATCTCCATCGTGCCATCGTACCTGGATTACAGTCAGCATGATTTCAATGGCCAGTCCTAATCTCGAGCATTCTGTTGAGGTAGTGGGAAAAAAGAGGTAGCCCGGTGAAAGTGAAGGTTTGGTATGCAAGCTCTGGCAGGAAAGCTCGCTGGAGGGGTATTTGAAGAAATCATCCATCGTCCTCCAAAGTCTCAAAGATAGCTCATACTTACGCGCTAGCTGCTAATGCGAACCCGTAACTTGAAATCGGTCAGCATTTGGTTACAATATGTGCTTGGCACACTTACATAGGACCCTCGACGTTTGGGTCCGCACCGAACTCCAAAAGAAGCTTAACGGTCTCCAGATGTTTATTGTCGGTAGCTTCGTATAAAGCCTCATCGAGTTGTGCTTGATCGATTCCTCGGGGATATAGCAGTCTCAAGACTTCCGTTCTACCGTAGAAAGCCGCTAGTGAGAATGACCTCTGATGTCTCAGCGAGCAAGATGAAAGCTCCGAATCCCGGTTCAATATCGCGGCCACGACTGGAGCGTAGCCTTTCTGAGCAGCTGCCTGTAGGGCTTGTTCTAGAATCAAAACTCGGTGTTCATCTTTCAACAATACCTCAAAGACCTCCAAGTGATTGTAGGTGGCTGCAGCGCTCAGTAAACTTCGGTAGGTTTTGATTTGAAGTTGGGGGTTCCACGATTTTGAAAGAAGATAACGGACAACACCAGCATGTCCGCGTCGCACAGCAGCACCAAGTGCAGAGCCATACCTATCCATTGGAGATTCTAGTCAGTATGTGCTCCAGTGCTGACTCAGATATGAACACTACGTACCAATACTCCTCATTGGGGTCAATATCTGCACCCCGTTCAATCAGAATACGCACGGCATCCAGATTTCCAGAAAAGGCAGCGAGGTTCAGTGCTCGTCGGTGCGGTCCACCAGGAATGTTTACCTCGGCGTTATGATCCAGCAAAAGCTCGACAATGCGGTTATCAAGGCTACCAACAGCTGCGTAGAGCGCTGTGCCATATTCAGGAGAGGGAGCGTTTACGCTAGCGTTGCGGTCGAGTAAAATTTTGACAATGTCGTAGTGGCCATTCCTGCAGGCAGCATGCAATGCTGTTGGGCTTCCATCAGAGCTTACGAAATCAACATCTGCACCTGCGCCAAGCAGAATGTTGATGATCTCTTCGTTTCCATTTTCGCAAGCATAGTAGAGGGTTTGAAGGCCTAACGAGTCTTGCTCATGTATGTTGGGGGTTCCGTTGAGGTTTATGAGGTGGTCGACCAAAGCAGGAAATTCGAGAATCACGGCTACGTGAAGAGACGAAATATCTTCTTGACCTTCCATACCGTGTACTTCCCGGATAGTATTCCACCATTTCTGACGATCTTTGGAGTCTTTCTGCCAAAAGGGATGGCTAAAGTTGAATTCCTCAAGAACATCAGGCGGCGCCCGTTTCGCGTGTTCTACCCAATAACGAACGGGGTATCTGAGGTCGACATCAAGAAGGTCTTCAGTCTCGTCATCGCCCTGAGCTGAGGATGCATCGCTCATGTCATCAGAGTCGGACTCATCAGAGTCAGTATCTGCTCCATATGGTGTGTTCTCTACGTCAATGGCGGCCTCAGTCTCTTCCTGTTCGGCATCGTCGACCGATACATCCTGTACTTCGATGGCCTGGTAGATGTACTCTAATGAGCGCAGAGCAATGATACCGTGCTGCACATCGTCGAGGTCCAGCGAAAGATCATATTTGGCATATACCGCAAGGTGTTCTGCAGCAGATATGTCAATCCATTCAACGGTACTGTTGTCCAGATCCCAGTCGTTGCCTCTCAAGGTAAGGAATGCTCCACATCGTACTATGTATTCTTTCAGCGTTTCAAGATCTTCTAGGTCGTCATGAGGCAGTCCAGCCATGACAGCAAGCTCTCGCATCGTTGGAGCTATGTATGATAGGACTCGGCAACGCAGTATCTCCTTCGTATATTCGTATCCTTCAGCTTGCGGGCTAAGAATCCGCTTTCGAATGTGTTCAAACATGTCGGTGAGACCATATGGGAATGACTCTAGCAGTTTCCTAATCTCGGCATAGTGCGTACGTCCTGGTTTCCATGCGTTCTTCAATTCTCGTACGACGAGACTAACATAGATCCAGTTGTCCTCGGCGCGAAGGTAGATGTGGCGTTTCACAAAATACGCCAAAGAAGCTGGAAGGGCAAGTTCATCCACACGCACAGATATGTGTGCTTTGAGGTCGTCGCTAACTTGAGCGGAGTTGTCTGCATCGTTAAGATCAATCTCTGGCACCTTACCCTTCAAACATTTCTCAATGCTCGGGCGACCACTGCGGTTAAGCAGGAGCCATTTGATAGGCCGAAAATCTTCGTCGTTATGGCTCGCGGTTGTGGGCTCAATCGCTCCTCCCATGTATGCAAGGAAGTGTTCCAATGAATCTTCCGCCAGTTGCTCTACGCCATACACAATGATATATATCCTTGAGTTTCGGATATCCTCAGCCATCTTTTGCAGGGCTGTCCACAGTGCAGGTATCTTCAACATTTCTTCCGGGTCAAAGATTTGGCTCCCGACATCTCTGCTGCCCCGAGAGTCTAGGAGAAGGTGGCGTGCAAGGTCTTGGTCGATATCTAGTAACTGACGAATAATTATTTGTAACAAACCCTTCAGAGTGCGCCTCATCCTGTCACTTTGGTCACAGTAAAAAGATGCAACTAATGAGTTGTGGTCAGCACCTTGGTTCAGGTACTCTAGAGCCGAAGATGCGATAGCACCTTGGCCTGTTCCGGCCTTTCCATGAATCCAGAAGACATGATTGGTATCCGAGGTTCTCCATTGCTGGAAATTGGCAAGTTCCAAGATCGATGAGAGTTTGGTGCTTTTCGCTTCCCGGTAAGAGCCCTTCATGGCTGCTTCAATATCCACAAATCCTTTTCCCAAAGCGTCTATCATACTATGATACGTGCGATCATCTACCTGCGATTGCCGCAGCATGTTTTGGCGCGTTTTGATGATACTGTCTGCTTTGTTTGCTATTTCTCTGATCTCATCAGATACAGCAGTGAAGTTTCCATCCTTCGGTCCGGGATACTTGTTCAGTTGGAAATGATCCGACATGAGAGAGAGGCTCTCAAATGACTCGATGGTTGCAGAATCTTGATCAACAATGCGCTCCTTCTTTTTGAGCCACGAAATACCTTTTACCATATAGTTGACGAGATCACTGTCGTTCTCTTCCCAGAAGCAGAGTAGCCGAATCTGAGCGTCTCTCGCCATAAAAGAAAACTCTGTAAGCATACTTCGCAGGATCTCTGAGTCTTTCTCAAGGACTTTGAGAAGGGATGATGGAGTACCCCAGCCAGCAAGCTCAGCCATGGATGCTAAAACCAGTGCTTTTGACTGACTGGATGTACCATGAAATGGAGTGCCTAGGAAGAAGCAGCCGGCAACCCAGGGGTAGACATTTGGAAAGTCTCGTTGACGCGATCGTGCCATGAGTAGAGCTTTTTCTAAGATGATGCCACCCAGGCAATGAGCAATGAAGATGATAGGCGTCTTTGCTTCGTTCTGGGTGGATATCAGCAGGGAACCAGATAGGGTGGCATTCAACACCCACTACTCTTGAGCGATCTAGACTGTGAAGCAGCTTGTTTGCCACATTGTCTATCCTTTCGTCGACAGATCCCTTTCCAAACCATTGTGATTGGTACTGGAAGACGCTAATCTTAGCATGTGGGATCTTTTTTGGCAGCATATTGGCATCTCGCAGCCAATGCACCTTGTCTTTCTTCCATGTGTATTCAGGGTCCGCTCCAAGACCGGGGATGGCAATGATTCTGCCAGCATTTGTTACTCAGGTTCAAAATAGCATGCATGGTGACATACTCGACCTTGACCGACAACTTGACCGACGATTGTTCATCATTTGGATATACAACATTCAATCCAGGGTTGAAAGACTATTTCTTCAGCAAATGCATGGAGAAATACTAGCACTACTAACCTGGGCATCGAACTTCGAATGCTGAGCCTTCGCGGCCGAAGCCATCGCGAACACTTGATCCACGAATTTCCAGTATGTACTGAAAAACAAAGATCGCTTTGTTTTCGTTATCTATTGCAGAAAAAATGCGCGACTGCAATTTTTGGAGGCTCCTGCATGCTGGCCCCAAGCCTTGGCATATACGCCCGAATGTTGGGGGCGGAAAGATTTTGGGGGGCGAAATTTCCCAAAGGAGAAGGACATCACTCAGTTTGTCAGCACTGGCGTGCACCTTTTTGGTATAACGATATCAATAAAGCTCGGCAATTTGGAACAACCCCAGCTTTACGAGACAGGGCTAGGCGAGAAATCTACCGCACCATTCCGCCGTTGTGGCAGTGTGGGAATCCGCAGCGCGCCATGGTTTTCTACATGATTGCGCCGTGTCGCTCTCTTCAGTGCTACTATGCTCTCTTCTAGCAAGACCACAGATCGCCCCTCGATTGAATGTCGCTCGAAAAAATGTATTCGCAAGCTGCGAGTGAACAGCTACCTGTGCCATTTCGCACGGCGCCCCTGAAAACGTCAAATCCTGATGGCACCGTACAACCAGAGGTGTCTTTACTACCAGCAACGTTCCGCAGAAACTATATGATCGAACCTGTCACCGCCGATATTGGCGCGTTTCTTGACATCGAACTCAATGTCAGCAGGTTGAACGAGATCCATAACTGGCTATGGCTTGTCGGACTCCCAACAGCACCCCGGCCACTCCATTACCAGATCGTCAAAGGAAGGGAGATTATGGTGACGGAGCAACTGGATTTACATCTTATTTGGTCCTCTTCAAAATCCTCTTCCATTCTTATCAAGCCATTACCCCGTTTCCTTTTTTGCCCGGTATTCTGGCAAACGGAAATCTGTCCCCGTCAACATGTGTACAAGACGGCACTTGGCTTCCTGTTGTCGTACGTTGCGCTCATCGAACGAGAGGTCGACTACAACTTGGCTATCTTCCACGGGCTCATTCCCAAAGAGATAACCTGGGCTGGGTGGTCGGCGCTTGTGAGCGACATTATCTGCACCCTCCCGCAGGTAGCACCTTTCAACTCAGCTCTCGCTCCATCGGTAGATATTATGGAAGGCCACATAGGTGTCAACCAACGCTTCATATATGGCGAGCTACGTCTTGGGCGGCTGAACTGGATATACCGCTTGGTCATGGGCGAGATACGCGGGTATCTTAGCGGTTGTACTACGTATGGATCGTTCATGCGCGAGAATATCAACAGCCTCATCACTTGGTTCGCATACACGACGATTGTCCTCTCAGCGATGCAGGTCGGGCTTTCTACACAGTCTCTCGGAGACAACCACTCCTTTAGTATGGCATCTTTCGTCTTTTCGGTTTTCTCTATTCTGGCGCCGCTCGCGTGTATTCTTGTTATCACGGCCATCATGGCGGTCATGATTATCATCAATCTTGTGCGGACGCTGAGGATTCGAAAACAGAAACGAAATAGAGGTGTCAAAGTATGAGTATGTAAAGATGGAAGCTTCAGAGAAAACAGTAATGTACTACGGATCAGAAGGTACAATCAATGGCACCGCTGGATCCAAGCGAACCTCAGCAGTTCGGCGTCCTGTACTAGGCTTCGCCATTTTCGGAAGCTGCCTTCTCATCTTCGGTCGTTCAACCGTCGCTGATGGACAATGAAAACGGCGTGCTGAAATAGAGGTTCTGGGTCTACGATACCAGAACATGAAACCACCACAAGCGGCAGAACGGCATCAGGTGCTATGCCAACAGATATCATGATTTTCAAGGCGGCTCTACAGGTTCCTCGATACCAAAAACACCTTCCCGTATCGCTCGATATGTCCTGTACATTTCATCAGTCGGGCTGAGCGATTGACTAGAGGACCTACAACAACAGTCGGGGATTCAAATAAACCCATATATGTTTCAGCGTGGAATCTCTCAATCTGGTCATCTGGTCGAAGATTAATGACAAGAGGAACCTGTATTTACTTTGAGAAGAGAGATAGTACCTACATCGAAAAGAGCGCGCAAAACGGAGGGTGATATAGCCGGAAGTATCTGAACCACCAATATAGAAATTCCTATGAAACCTCGAAATATTGTAACTCCACTATCCTTGCTTTTTCCCTACAGAACTTCGCAACATAGCTTAACAGCATCAGCAAAATAGTTAGGTGTTCTTGCTCTCCTGCAAACACTGCTTTCCGATCTTCACGAGTGCTTTGCTAACACAGACTGGACCTCATCATTTCACGGTCTGGACTTGTCTTTCATAACTAAACCCCCAACATGTTTGATCAATCAAAAGCACAACTGGATAACGGTCGAACATTCTTAGCTTATTTTTTAGGCTGGAGACGGACACGATGCATTAGCTTGCATCTATTTCTTACGCTTTCGGGACGCCCAGACCGCCACGCCAGTGCAACACTGCAACTCTTGACGGCGGAATGCTATTTTACCGTCCGCAAGCGTTGAGCTTGATCATACATGAGATGACAGAATCTCCAGGCAGCAGATGAGCGGTGCGCGTGGGTGAAAGCAGATGACGTGGAAAGCTGACTAACCTGTTTTGTCGTAGCGTCTCGATCACGAGCCACGACCGTGCGGAAGGCGGCGACTTGGCCGTCGTCGACGCGCTTATCATAACACCTCAGCACTCGCCCCTTCATCTCTCCTGTAGTGCTCCCATATCATGTCATTTCACACTTCATCTCATAATACTCGAGGCAGGCCCTCGCGTTCTCTCCTTGCCGTTGGTATCCTTGTGCAGTTCGCTCTGATAGCGGGTATCTTTTGGGCCTATACCAACTTTGGCCACTCCCGTGGGTCCACGGCTTTAGCGGACGCGGCAACTACCAATTCATCACCGAGGCCAAACAGCTTCAGATTGCGACATGTCATAAATCACGGTGTCGGCCAACCTGGGCCGCGTGCGAGAAGGTTTGATGTCACACCGGAGCACTTTGCAGCTGCCGGTGTCGATTCCCATGTCGGACCCTTCGCCATCAAGACGGCACCAGTAAAGATCCAAAGGCCATCGTTCAACAGCTATGATAGCCAAATACCCATGTCTCCCATTTGGATGGCCGAAGACATTCCGGGTCCGGATATTAAAGATAAGGAAACCATCATCAGTTTTGCAAATATGTCGGAGGATGCGTACAAGGTTGGACGCGATGATCCCGGGTGGATGGATGTGGATGAAGACTATGACACTTCCATTCCTTTTGGTTGGGATGATAGCGGCATCCGCGGCCATGTATTCAGCGATGACACCAACTCCACCATCATCCTTGCCGTTAAAGGAACTACGGTAGCCATGTTCGAAGGCAACGGAACCTCTGTGCACGACAAGGAAAACGACAATCTTTACGGATCCTGTTGCTGCGGTCAGGGCGGTACCTACCTGTGGCGCAAAGTGTGTGACTGTCAAACGGGTACTTATACCTGTGATGAACAATGTGTAAAGGACGAGTTGCGGAAGCCAAACCGGTACTATGTCGCAACTCTCGAGCTCTATCAAGAAGTGATGAAGCTCTACCCGAATTCCCACGTAATGACAACCGGACATAGCTTAGGTGGAGTACTTGCGTCTTTGATCAGTCTCCAACATGGCATTCCTGCTGTGACATTTGAGGCTTATCCCCAGGCTCTGGCAGCGAAGCGCTTAGGACTACCGGCAGCTAGCGACGTTGCTCCACCCAGCAAAGACACGGGAGTCTTTCATTTTGGACACACAGCTGACCCGGTATATATGGGAACTTGTAATGGAGCTACAAGCTTTTGCTCAATCGGCGGCTATGCATTCGAAACACTTTGCCATGCCGGAAGGAAGTGTGCATACGACGTGGTTAAAGATTGGGGCTGGAGACAAAGCACCCAGACGCACAGCTTGAGGTACGCCATCGAGAACGTTTATATGAAATACGACGAAGCGGCAACATGTCAAGAAGAGGATGTAGGGTGTGTTGATTGTTACTTGTGGAAGTTCGAAAACGGCACACATAAGCAGCCGACAACGAGCGCAACAACAGCAACAAGTACCACCTACTCAAGGACCCGGACAGAAACATGCCAGACGCCTGGATGGTGGGGATGCCGGGATGCGACAACTACCATGATGTCGACAACATCGTCTAGCTCATCGACTGCTACAACGAGCACAAGCACTTGTCAGACAGTATGTTTTCCTAGTCAATTAATTTTGCAAACATTGCTAACTTGTACAGCCTGGCTGGTTTGGTTGCAAAGACGTAACAACAACGACAACAACAACCACTACGGCCACTGCTACTATTACGACTACATCCAGTGAGCCAACCACGACGACGTGCACTACTAAAGGATGGTTTGGCAGATGCCTTGACGACAATACTTCGACAGCCACCCCTGCTATGGAAGCACATGCCTACTGGCAGACACCGGTGATGGCCACTCCAACGCCCCCATAGGCTGATAGTAGAATACTCTCGGATTGACGCCTTGAATTTTGTTACGGAGCAATCGATAGATTTACGCAATGCCGCCATGTGCTCTTACCTTCTTGACGGAACCTAATCTCACCCTGAACGCAACCTGTAGTTCAATCACTGGGTTTAACCCTACAGCCAAACTTACATATGTGATCATTCATACGTGCGTGCGAGTTCATGGGATTCGAACATGTTCAAGTGGATCTATGCACTCTAAGCATCGCACTAGTTGTAAGTCAATCATCATAAAAATGCAGGTTGTAAGCAGGTACGCAAAAATCTACGCATTTGCCGGGTTATGCGTGAGAGAAGTAAGCAAACAATATTGTCAAGTTGTGTCATGTTGATTGTCGGTAGTTGCACCGTTGCAATGGTAACATCATCTTTTTTAACTGGTTTTCTCATAATCCCGAGGAGCTCGAAACAGTCCTAACGTAGTAGACGACGGTAGTCAACATAACGAGAACTCACAAGCTTCCCGATCAATTTCTAAGCATGTGCAAATTCGGCTTTTACTCCTAAGGGCCGATAGGGGATGTCGTACGAGATGTCGTACGTATCAAAGTCAAAGAGAATTACACTCTTACTGGTGAATCTTAGTGGCCAAGGCTAGTCACAAAGCTCAGAGGACAAGGTCAAACAACACGCATGATGTATGGAACGCTTTCACCGGCTTTATCGCAATCGGTATTTTTAGGATGAAACCAGAGGCCACTAGAAACATGTGGCGAGGGTGTGGCGTGGATACAATCTGGTCCGCCTGCTCACGTGACAGGATATCAAACCGTTGATTGCCAGCACTAGTCTCGCCCAGCTTATCGGGTCGCTCACGCCGACCCCAAGGCGACTTTCCCATGGGAAAAGGAACAAAAAGTGCATATGGCCGCGCGGAAATAATGGGGCTGGCTGGCCAACAAACAAGAATATGGTAGTGGTTGCGTGGCTACGGACGCAGGCGAAGCAGGTATTAGCGTGGACCAAATTTCCACGGCAGCAGAAAGATTGCACGCTCCACAGAATCTGGCCAGATTGTGCGGAGGATGTGTGTCGGACATAGCTAAGGCCACAAGGCGAAAGTCTGGTTCTATAGGTGGGAACGCTGATCCTCATATTAATGCCTCGAGCCGCGAACGGGAGGTGCTGAGGTGGCGAAGAGCGGTAGGAGGGTCCGTAGTCCGCATCTGTACCCACGCGGCAGAGATCGGACATGGAATCGTTATCAAAGTCCGAAATTTGGTGCCTTTTGATGGCCATGGTTGACTTTGCGAGCTGCAGGCCGGGTAAATAGGGTCAGGAGAGGTCACGGCGGACGAGGGACATGTGAAGGGTGAGACGCCCAGACTGCGGCACTGCGTAATCGCAAAGGGCTTAGGTCTACTCTAGAGGCTTCTGGCACGTCTGGACGAAGGTGAGGACGAATACAGATGCACGTTTCTGCGCGGTGGGCAAGTAAGTACACAGAGTAAGCCCTCAGCCCCGTAAGGCCGCCTGAGAGAAATTGAGCGAAACATGGCTTACCAGCCCGGTCCCTGTAGCACATCGTCGCTTGAAACAGTCGCTAGGTATGGCACGTACCCTCCGGGCTGCCAGCACAATGTCAGAGTCACCAAATGGCGGGAAACGTCAGTGTTCGCGGCGGGGCGGGTGTTGGGTACGTATGTAGGTTTGTACACCGTCCATGTCCGGTGAAAGAATGGCTTGGTGCAAGCCACACGATGATGATTGCCGGAAGTCACGGCTTTGGCAGAAATCAAGATTTGGGCGCTTGGTTGGGTCGATGGGCAACGAGGCCAGGGTCTCCGCCGAGACCCTGGGCTGGCGAGTGAGAACGCACTGGCCAAGTGCAGTCTGGCCGCGGGTCTCTCCACTGTATAATCTACGATGACACACTCTTCCCTTGGACGCGTCAACTGTCATGAGCCTCTTGCAGCCTCCAGCGTTACGGAAGGTTTTGCCTTCATATACGTCAAGTTTGGATATAAGAGATAGCACTACTAGCTTCCAGACCCGCAGGTTCCTCCTAATCTGCAAGCTCAAGATATAAGCCGCCCGTCCACACACACACACACACACACACACACACCTTGTCCACACATCATCCATCCCATCTCTTGACTTTGTCAGCCCGACTATCCATTTTCTCCCTGGCTAGATCCGGCAACTAAGGCACTATATTGGGCCCGTTCTGCATGCACCCAAGCGACGCCAACTGACACCATCGATTACGGCTACTCTTTCGGCCCAAGTACGCAATAATTACCCTGCATATCTACAACTGCCTGTCTACATCATCGGGCGTTCGCTATCGTCTGCCCCATATATTACGAAGTCTCGCCCTCGGCTTGAAGGATTCCCAAAAGGCCAACAACACGCTATTAACTCCGAGCAATACATAAACGCAGCCACTTCACGCTACTACAACATCACATCGTCATCATCACCACTGCTACCACTATCCATCACAACACCTCGACAACACCTCAACCCTCTCAAGTCACAATGTTCTCCTGCGCCAATTACGAGCGAGGCTGCCGAGGCCGTTGCAACCGCCTCAACGATCGATGCGACAGCTGCCACACTCTCAATCTTCAAGTCCGAAGCAACAGTGCCTCGTCCACATCTTCAACCAACGCACTGCCATCAGCCGCCTACTCGGCAATGACAAACTCGTTCGCGTCTCTATCTCAACTCAACAACTCGTCGACATCAACAAGGACACAATAGCCCGTTTGCGAAGCAACATGCAACTCCATCATCCTTTCACGACAATACGAGTTTTATTCAGACATTAGCGACTTTGACGACAGGTGTTCTGGCAACACTTCCTTCTCCTACCTTTTGGGCCGACTTTTGGCTTTGGCCTCTCCTAGGGGATTACCGGCGCGGGACAGCGCACTTGGTTAGCATTTACACGGGCATGCGAGATTTTCTGGACGTTTTCTTCTCTCTTTCTTTTCTCTCTATAAACCTTGTATTCATACACCGCTACACTTTCTATTCGCATGTTTTGTTTTTCTTGTTCTTTCTTCTCGTCGGGAAGACTCGGTTGCAGGCGTTTTGGGCAGACAGGGTGTGCATGATGTGGCGTCGATTGGGGCCATGCACCCATCCGCCCCCCGGCACAGGCTACTCTTGGAGGAAAACTTGGCATATACCCATGATTGGGTCGGTTTGGAAATTGAAGCGCGAGCTGTCTCTTTCTCTATTGCACTTGCAGTGAAACACAATCACACCAAATGCACTCCAACGTTTTTGAACCCACCTCACCTGACCAAGTTTTTTCTGCACTTTATTCCCGCTATGCGTGACGCATGACTTGCAGCAAAGACCCTCTCACCCCAATATTAAGCCTCGTTTATTTTTCCCTTGCGTGCTCATTTTTTTTGCGGGGGTAGCAAAGAAGTGAGCAAAAAGCGAAGCCATACGTAAGACCAGGTATGCAAAGAAAGAAAAAAAAGGATAGAGGCCAGGATTCCGTCCCCACAGCCTCGCCTAGAACACGAGGTCCCCGAACCGCTCGCCTCACTCTCCTTTTTTCCCTTTATCACTCCTTTCTCCCTTTTTTTAAATCCCCGAGCGACTACCGTCCCTTTTTCTTTCGCCTTTGCGGAAAACAAAACGGTATAATCACGGCATGACACGTTTTTACGAGCAAAAACCAAAAGCGACGCCGAACGGCCTACGTAGCATCCGTATCCAAAAGTAGTTCCGCAGCGCCCATCACTTTGACACTAATTCCCTAAACTAGCGTGCCGTCCCCTCTCTCCCACTGCCGGGAACCAACGTTAGATAGAGGGAGGCGAAAAAAAAGAGAACTGCGGTTCCGCGTCGGCTTTGTTCCCCTCAGGAACCCAGAGCGTAAGAGACTCCACATAGGGGAAAGCATGAAAGAGCAGGGCCAGCCAGCCAACAAGAAAAAAAACAGACAAGAGACAGAAGTCCAGACAAGTAGATCGACAATAAGATGCAACATCAGAGGGCCTGGCTGGGGGGAAGCATGTGGTCTAGACAAGCGCCGCGATCGCAGTTTTGGCTGGCGATCGCGTCTCCTCCCCCCAACGTGGGTGGCCGCGGAGTAGGTCACAGGGAGGGCGCAATCACAGGGGGCTAGAACGTGTTGCATGCAAGGTGGGTTTTCTTGAACGGAGTAGGTTGGGCGCGGTGCAGCGCAACAGTTGGTCGCCCGCTGCAGGGTGACGTCTGTGGCTGGTCTTTCTTGCGTAAAGTAGTAGCCCAAGTTGCGTGCTCTGTGCGAAGGCAAGCAGTAAATACGTAGTGCACAGAGATAGTCAAGTCTGGCTTGGAGTTTGTTTCGTGGTGATTTGCGTTATTTCGTATGTACACAGTAGTCAAAAGACATAGAAGGTTTTACGAGGCTGATGACGAAAGAAAGTAGTACTAGACTAGAGGTCGTGTTGTCGGTATTCTCTGGGGGGTTTCCGGAGGTGTCGCCGCTTCGGCACCGCAAGTCGTCTGGCCCGCTTTGGGATGAGCCGACGCCATAACCATGCGCACAAGCGCCCTTGGCCAGGCGACAAAGGCCTGAATCTTGGTGTTGCAAAAAGAATGGCGGCGTGTTGAAGGGGGCATAAACAAGCCACGGCAACTGATGCCGCAAATTTTTAGTCATACCAACGCTCTACTTTGTCGCAAAGCTGCCTTGGCAACAATAGTCACGGTCGTCCCTGTCCGGCAGTGCATGTGTAGTGCTAGTACGTGCTTCTTCACTCTCCCTGCCCAAAGCTTATGCACACCTGCCCATACATCCTGTCTCTCTCCCTACCGCGCATTGCAGATCCGCCTTACAGTAAATCCGACCGGCAGCGCAAACAAAGTTGCCATGTCAACATGCACGCCGGCGTACAGATTTACCATGGGAAGAGACACCGAACAACCCAATACTACACGGGTGCGTGCCCCCCCTGGTTGGCCCAACGCGTTACATTACATGTGTACAACACATGCATCTCCCCTCCTCGTGATGAGCGACTAAAAGAGCCCAACGCCCAAGGCAAGCATGTAGGACGCACATGCGCCGCGTACAGCCTGTAGTACAACCACCCCCCCTTCAAAGCCACCATGCAACTTCGCAGCTTCCCGCTGCGTTTCATGGTGTATACGTGTAGTTCATCGTGACAAAAAAAACTCCCCACATCACGCACTCCTCGTTCCCCCGCCTCGTTCCCCCGCCCCGTTCCCCCGACTACCGTGTTACTACACAAAGTTCCTCACCCACACGCTTTCGTTTGGCAAATGAACTCTCTAGTCCCCCCCTCTCTCCAGCGGCGACCAACCCCACAACCCCGTAAAACATGTGTACTTTTGTTATATTCTCGGAAAATCAAATGTACCCAGCTAGCGACGCTTTCGTCCACCTGTTCATACAATTCATACATACAAAAATTCATTTTTCATCAATCTTGAGGAGGGAGGGAGGGAGGGGAACTTCCTTAGTAACCGTTTCCCGATTCTCCCGCCGCTTCCCGTCCCCGCCTTTCCATCTACACTAGTTACCGTTACCCAAACGTCACCTGGCCTGTTTTTTTTGTTTCTTGGTCACGATTTTCTGACTTGCTTTTTTTTTCGTCCATAGAGGAAGGGGATGTAAGGACTATTAGCCAAGCGACATTTCATGTTCAAGTGATATTTTTTTTACCTTCGATTAGAAAGGAAAGAAAATAGAGCAAGTGTTTTGCTTTGGAAAAAAGGATATTGTTGTTTGGGAAATATGGAGGTAGGAGATAGGTAAGGGTGGTAGAAGAGAGATAGGGGCTTTACATAGGACTCGGATCATACCCTTGAAGTAGTATTTTACTTACTCTACGTTGTAATAAAAGTATATAGAAAAGGAAGACGGACTAGTAAAAGTGGACACCAAGCTAACATAGTATAGTGGTGCAGGGAAAAGGAAAAAAAAGGCCCGAGAGGTTAAAAAAAAATTTAGGGTTGAGTGTGAGTAAATATAAGCGATAATGACGGCGTACGATTTGTATACATATCCGTGTGATTTTTTTTTAGCAAAGAAGCTCGTTGTTTGCTTCTTCTCATCCTCCTTCACCTTCACAAGAGGCTCATCTCGCTTGCTTCTTCCCCTTCATAAGACCCACCCCCCACTCATTAGTGAAGCAATGACTTCGACTGGACAGGTATCATCTGCCCAAGTGGCGCTCGTCACGGGCGGTGCCTCGGGCATGGGATTGTCTGTTGTAAAGCACCTGGCCGAGCAAGGCTGGAACGTAATGATAGTCGACTACAACGAAGAGAGCGGGCAGAAAGTAGCACGGGAGCTTGGAGATAAGGTGTCCTTTACGAATGCGGATGTTTCGGATTACGACCAGCAGGCCAAAGCCTTCGTCGAGACGTGGAAACAATGGTCGCGGCTCGACTTTGTGTTTGCCAATGCGGTGAGCACTGCTTTTTATGTCTTTCTCTGTTGTGATTCACTTCGTTTTTTTCTCATTTTTGCTGATGGGAAACCCAAGGGCATTATTGACAGGACCAACTTCTACGAGCCGGCTGAGGAACGCGAAGATGGCGCGCCCGTGAAGCCGGATACCTCTGTCCTTGACATCTGTCTGACTGCTGTAGTCTACTCGGCATATCTTGCGCTGCACTACTTCCGCAAGAATCCAGATAAAGCTGGCAAGCTGGTTTCGACGGCGAGTATGGCAGGCCTCTATCCCTCACACGGTCTTCCCGTATATACATCTGCGAAACATGGGGTAAGTCTCCGCGGGACCAACACACGAGTAGTATTTCGCTCCCAAGGGCACTGACAAATCTTCCTTCTAGGTTGTCGGTATAACTAGATGCCTAGCTCAGAGGCTCGAAGCGCTCCAGGAACCTATTACTGTCAACTGTATATGCCCAGGTATGTTCGACGCAAAACATTTTCTTAATCCAATGAGGTATGGTTTTAACAAAAGGCGCTAGGCATAGTTGCTACCAATATATCTAGCAGTCCGATGACGGACGCCATAGCCAAGATCTTGACGCCTCACTCAACCATTGTGCGCGCTGTAGATGGATTCTTGACTGATTCAAGTAAGAATGGTTTGGTAGCGGAGTGTTCAATTGAAAACATCCACTACCGGGTGCAGCCAGATTGGAGTGACGAAAAAGCCAAGGAGGTCATGACTGGTGTCTACTAGGCTTAATCGGCGAATGCTGCTGAGTAGTCTGGCAATTCGTGAAATACGTTATATTTGTTTTGAGTATAATGTATTCTTTGACTCTAGCCTTCTAAGATGCATTAGCGTGAAGAGCCTCCATGATCTATTGATATCGATAGTTATGAAAGCTAGTATATTTTAATACAACTGACTCGCAGTTGACTTGGTTGGCTTGGTGTTTGTGCCATTTTCCGGCTTGTCCTTTTCCTGAGACTACATACATACTAGTTAGGGGGTTGGTGTTAGGGAATGCGCTAAGGGGATCGTCGAGTGTGGTGGTGACGTCATCCCGAGGACTGGAAATGAATCTAGACTCTTTCTTGTGGTGGAGATGGAAAGAGTCTAAAAAGAGGGGGATTTATGCATTGTGGGGATGGACGATGTAATGGCTTAAGAATAGTTCTTGAGACTACGTATACATGTGGGACGAACGGGTTGATGGGCCGAGGTGAAGGAAATAGTGGGGCTGGGGTTTGAGGACTAGGTGAGTTGGGAAGGGCTGCATAGTTATGCATTTATGCGTACATACAATATGCCTTTGAGTATTTGCAGCTTTCATGATGTGTAAGATAGTTACGCATAAGAAAAGTACTGCTGTAACTGACAGTGAGATATTCCTTGGCAGAAGTAGAGTATAGACCCTTGCTCACCATGTACGACAAGAAACATCAGCTTCCTCGAACAAGAAATATATTTTCTTGTAATTAACCAACTCCCAGATTTCACAAAAAGTAGCATACCGATAACACGCACATTGCTTACCTTTCTCCAAAATCAAATATGTAATCCTACCTCTTCTTTTCCAAATCCCTCTCACCAACGATACCCCCTCTCAACCCTACAGTAAGTAATCATACAATAACTAATCACGAAAACATACCCTCTGTATACCTATCTGCTATTACAACAGTCTTACACGTCAAATCTACCTCCAACCAATCCCAATCACCCCAAGCCGCACACACACGCTCGCGCATATCGCAGCCTTCGGGTATCTCTCGGCCCACCAACGCTTTCTAAGCAAGCCGCTTGCCCTCTCTTGGGTGCCACACTCCCCTCCCGCCATCACGTCTTCGAGAGAGAGGCGTCGCACATGACTCCTTCTACTGCCCTCGCTTCAGAAAGAAATGTGCGTTTGCGCGGCTGGGAGAGGGGGGAAAGCGCGAAAGCCGCGGTGTGCGGTTTGCCATGGCTTGAGACTGTGCCGACCGATATTCGGATAGCATAGGGTGCACACTTCACATGTATGCCAGGGGAGGTAACAGACTTAGTCACCACCTCCCTTACCCTCTGCTAAAGATAGCGCAGAACCATTTTCCTAAATGCCATGTACTATCTTTTTCGTGCGACTAGTGGTTTGCGGGGTATTTCCGCGGGGGAGAGCTGTATTTAGAGCTGACAAACAGGTACCTTTTTTTCGCTGTGCTGACGGGACTGGGGAACAGGGGACCTTGAGGCTCTAAAAATGCGATTTGCGCTACTTTCAGCGGGAATAAGGGAAGCGGTGTCCTAATGTGGTCATTGATACTGGTGGTTGCTTCGCGGTCGGGGTGTCAGCAAGGCTGATTTACTACATCACGTGGCGATATGGGATGCAGACAGCCAATCCGTGCACGTCTGTAGATGCCTATGTACGTACCGCGGAACTGCAGCTCAAAGATAACAAGAGACGCAACTCTATGGTATTGGATTAATAATGCAACAAGGCTGGATCAACCTGTCCCGTCGCCCAGCAATGGGTATGTCCGCGTGAGAAGGGCTTCTTTTGGTGGTCGAATCCGCATTTTTAATCGCTCTTGCTTATTCACACATGTCAGATTTTGGTCGAAGGCGCGCAGGGCGCGTGTGGCGCTTTTCTAGAAGAGAGAAAGACGGACGTGGGGTACATCAGCCCTATCCGTTGTTGTATGACGTCGCGTTGCCTCTTCCTGTCCTTGGGGCATACAGGCAATTGGTGCAAAAGGTAGGCAGCAACATAGGCTGTATTGTCTGCCCAGAGGTAGATCGGTGAATCGTGTGCTAGATTGGTGATGGAGTCTCAAGGACAACAGTAAAACTCGCATCCTAGGCTCCATATAAGCTCGTCGAAGAGGCGGACTCGAGAGCAGCATATGGGATGCCCATCTTGTTGACCAGATAGCGCTCAGAGCCGGACACAAGCATCGACAAGCCTTCCACTCTGACGGGAACGGTCCGCGCTACAAAATGGGGGCACACACATCGGGCCGTTGTCCAATCTGCACCGCCATTGTGCTGAATCATCGCGACCAAGGTTGCAGATGAGAAGAGCAATCCACGCCCTTAGGCCCAAAGGGGAAAGGGGAGATGATCAAATCCCTCTGATATGAGAAGCGAGAAGAAAGTGTATGTGCGGTGCATTTCTTGTCGCATACGCATGTGCCGTTTCTTCCATTCACCGTGCATCATGGTTACCGATGTGGCGTAGCTTGCGACAGACAGACACAGTACATAATACCAGCTGAGGCGGCGAACTCTTGCCTGGTTGCTGGTTGAAAACATTGAGCACCGTCAGCACCTTTTGCTTGTCTTGGTTTTGACTTCTTGGCAAGATTGCTGGTCCTCTTTCCAAATCGTCTTGATTTGCCTTGTTTTGGAAGTACGGCTGTTCGCATTGTTTTCTTATACTGCAACGCAGGATGAGTGTGTCTTTGTCACCAGGCGCCCAGCCGAAGAAGACCAATTACAGGGTCCGCTTTCGACATGGCGTGTTTCCGGATGCAGAAGGTCAAGCAACTCGAGCAGATATCAAAAAGTATGATTATTTTTTCGCTGCCGGGCAGAGATGGGTTGGTACCGAGGGTAAATGTATGTTCAAGCCACCGGTTGAGTCGCTTCTGAGCGACTGATAAGCATTATGCAAGCACTGACACAGCATCACAGTGGATTTTATCGACGAGTCCAGACTTGTAGCTGAAGAATGCGAAAATCCAGGATCTGCAGGCGAGAGAAGGACATCGAAACATGTAAATCGCTCACGGACATCAGGGAGATTGTCAGGCTTTGCAACGACAAGTCCCCGGACGAGAGAGCGACATCTGCCTCTGCGAAGTGGGACTTGGGATAATCAAGCGCAAGCATCTGCGGACAGCCAGAGGCATGTTCTTCCTCCATGGCATGTCCGGCGTCATACGAGCCCGGCTCCAGGCTCGGGCTCCAACTATTCCAGTCTCGATGAGCCATCGCCTGCAGACTCACAGTCTGACGGCCCTTCGCCACGTCCATACCCTGCAGCAAATTCAGTTGCCGACGTAGCTTGGCCCCTCTCTGATCCAATTGAGGCATATCTGTTTCGCTTCTGGATCGAAAAGGCCGCAGTATCACTCGACATTACAAGTCCAGTAGCCGTATTCAAAAAAGTAGTTCCAAGACTTGCTTTTGAGAATGCAATGCTTATGAATGCAATTCTCATGACATCTGCCCAACATGTCTTGCGCCATGACCCGCATTTTCCCGCCGGGCCTTATGTGTATCATGATAGGATCCTACAGGACCTCATTCCGTACCTAGCGGAGAAAGGCAGGATTGAGGACGAGGCAACGCTGGTAACGGCGATGCTTCTCAGAACATTTGAAGAGTACCACGGTGTGTAGTGATAAAGCAAAGAAGGTGAACTGTTTGGCTGACGAACAATCAGCGGGTACGCAGGGTCAAACCCACCTCTCTACATATGAGCTTTTCTACGGCCCCGAGGGCTGGTTGCTCGATATGTCTAGTCCGGTCGTGCAGGCTTGTCTCATGATTCACGTTAATTCCGAAGTGTGTCAAGCGCTTCTCAATCGCCCGAGTTTGCGCATCGATTATGGAAACTCCATTCTGCCTGCATTGGCCCTACCAGAAGATGAAGCTTCGTGGGGTAACAGAATAGTATGGTTGAATGCGCGTATCCTGCAGTGGATGGCGACAGATAATCGCACAGCAGACGAGCGGCAGTACTTGAGCAATCTTGTTGATGAATGGGAATTGATGCGGCCAGCAACTTTCGATGCGTTCTTTTATAAAGAGGACTCGTACGCTATGGGGTATTTTCCAGAACTATGGTTCTCCGGTCCTTGCCATGGTGAGTTTGTATAGTAACCAGCCCGCTACCTTCATAACTGACATTGCTTAAGCTGATGCAAACCAACACTTGCGGATATGTCGCATTGCACTAGCAGCTAGTTACCTCGACACCGAATTTGCGTACCCCCATGGAGACGGCGTTGTTGCATCCATACAAGACGAAATACTTAGGGGACTGAAGGAAATGGTGGCTATTGCTCGATGCAATACCCACTGCGTATCGGCACCATGGAAAGCAGCGCATGCTGTGCACAAGTTTGCAGTGCTGTTGAGCGATGAGATGGCACATTTCAAGATGATAGAATTTCTAAATGAGGTGAACACCATGGGCATGCCAACAGCGGCAACGGTAAAATATCTCGCTGAGCAGTGGAGCTGGAGGAACAATGCTGTTGAGTGGCAACAAGTCAAGAGCAGCCTCATCTAGCCAAAGCCCCAGCCAAAAACAGACCGCCAGCTATCACACCCAGCAAGGTGATGAGGATGATCTGGCCCTTACCAGTCAAGGCGAGGTAGGATATGACGCCCACAATGACTTCCCAGCGTCGTGCGGCATCCCGTCTGGCCTTCCACTGGGGATTGATTTCAAAGGGCGCACGGGAAAAGACCTCGTTGATGCCCATTTTGATGGGCTTTTCGTCGATGCGCAGGGAGAGAGCAACAGGACGGTGGTCTGACGTGGGCTGGATGGGGAGAGCGGTGTAGATCTGGGGTTCTAGGTCTGACGCAGACCCGGCGCGTAGAAAGAGAATTCGGTCACACCACGAGGGATATCGGTGCTTTGACCAGTGCCACGATTCAACCTCACCGGCTAGAGAGTGTTTGGAAGTGGAGTACTTGTATGTAGGCGGGAAGGTAATGGGAAGCTCTTCAAAGCCATGCAGTGTGCGCTTGGCGTCTTTCTCTCGAATCAATTGGTCCTGTTTTAGCAAATGTGAAAAGTGTCGGGATGATGACTCTGACTCGGTAGGCTGAGGGTAGGACTTGGGAGCGTCACCGTCTGGCGGACTGTCACTAGTGCGATAGTTTAGGTCGCCGTAAAAGAAGACGTGGTTTCCAGGCGTAAAAAGACCGTTGTGATCAGCTGGAGCATCTGAAGAGGCGGCTAGAAGGGGTCTTTGTTCGCTCGAGCTGTAGGCGGTCTCGTCGCCATTGACAAAGACCAAGTTGCGCACCAGATTCTCCCAGTCCTTGTTGCGCGCTTCCACGTTCCTTTCCATGGGCGCAAGATGGGCTGCAGCAAAGGTGAGATCAAGGGTGTCGTCGGCGCCGGGACAGGCCAGGCCGATGCGCATCGCAACAGCCCCCTTGTTGCCAATGTTGGAGAAGCCGACGCCTGCACCTGCAGACTGTATCCATTGTATCCTCTCGAGGATAGCTGGATTTGCAAATAGCATCAGGGCTGTCATGCCCAGGCTACGCGTGGCCACATGCTCGAGGGAGCCGCTGCCCTGGCTGTGGAGGTCAGCAGCAAGCTGGACAGTCGTGGTCAGGCGGTCGAAGTAGGGCTTCAAATAGGATCCACCGAGAAATGAATAGGCAATGGGCGCAATTTCCTGCAGCGAAATGGCGACAATGTCCGGCACGGGCGTTCCCTTGGGGAGCGCGTCAAAGAAGGAGGGCGCCAGGGCCTGCGGGTCGACGAGATTGCGCGCCGCATTGAAGGTGACGAGGTACAGGTCCAGCATGGCGTGTCGTGGTGCGCACTCTGGGGTGTATTTAGCTGGCGGCGACAATACGGATAAGCGGAGTGCTTGTATGCAGTGGAGTACATGCAATCTTCAGAATCGCAGTGGTGGGCTGCATAGACTGCCCCGCTCTGGCCGGGCTACAGGGGCCTTCCTATGATTATCTGCTTCTTGGAACGTGGGGGTGGCCAGCGGTCAGCATTTGCTGGAGCTCCTCCGGACCAAGGGTGTGTGTGTGTGGAGAAGGGCGGGCACAGCCAGGGCAAATCCACTCTTGGCCTTGTCGGTGTGTAATAAAGATGGAGACGGTGATGGAGCGGAGCATGCCATTGAACGCGTGTAGATGGGATAGACTTCGCGGGATACTCGATTGGGGCTCGCTTAAGCTGACCCTGCATGTCCTGTCGTCAGAGGCGTTCAACCAACAGTAGCACGGCGGGCCACGAAGCTCAAGCTGTGCAAAGGACCGAATGATTTCATACCTCGTGTCGATTGCTGTGTACATCGTGAACTTTCCGCCTGCTTCCACTGCCTCTGCCCAATTTCTGCTCGACCTTTGGGTGGCTTCACCGACTTTGGGCTGCCTTTGCATTGCCTTGAATCCATACACTCCTGCATACCCATACGCGGTATTGCTTTCATTGTATCTTGCCATTGGCAGCTCCTTTCCTGTGAGCACCACTTCTACGACTCTCTGACCTTTGTATCTTTGTATTGCAATTGCAATTGCCATGTTCAGATCTCAGGTACTTCGGCACATTGCCCGCGCGGCTACGGTACAGGCTCCTCGAGCAGCCTTCCGACCCGCACAGCCAGCCATTTCTTCAATTCGTCACTTCACCTCTTCTCCAAGTCGTTTGGATAAAGATTCTCAGAATGAAGACCCAGTCGATGCAGCGACGACGTCAGGCGAGCCTGGCGAGAGTGGCGACCACGAGGGCCAGTACGCGCGAACTCGGGACGACATTGTCGTAGAGTACCCAGAAGAGAAGGACCTGCCACCTTCGAATCCCGTCGTAGGCCGTGGAGGCGAGCACTCGAAGCGCACATTGGCCTCTTTTTCCATGGAGGGCAAGGTAGCCGTCGTCACTGGTGGAGCTCGAGGTCTGGGCCTGGTCATGGCACAGGCACTGGTTACATCTGGTGCCGACGTTGCCATTGTTGACATGAATAAAGAAGAAGGAGAGCGATCCGCACAGGGGCTCGTTGATGTATACAAGAAAGAGAACCCCGCATCGAGAAGGTTGGAACTTCTTCATCTCCACATCCCACTCCAACTAACTCAAAACACAGGACACCAAAGGTCACAGCTCACTTTTGCGATGTCTCGAGTCCAACCTCCGTCAACCAGTCCTTTGCCGAGATCTTGAAGCGTCATGGCAAGGTCGACAACCTTGTCACATCTGCTGGCTTCACCGAGAACTACGATGCCATCTCATACCCCCACGACCGCATGCAGAAGCTGTGGGGCGTCAACGTCGACGGCACATACCTATACGCCGTGGCAGTGGCAAAGCACCTCATGGAGAGGAAGGCGCCTGGAAGCATCGTCATGATTGGCAGCATGTCTGGCTCCATCGTCAATGTCCCGCAGCCACAAGCCCCATACAATGCCGCAAAGGCAGCAGTGCGACACTTGGCAGCTAGTTTAGCTGTTGAGTGGGCCGGTGCAGGAATCCGCGTGAACTGCATTTCCCCTGGATACATGCTTACTGCATTGTACGTAAATCTGTTGTCACCAACCAAAACGATGCTAACGGCACTGCAGGACCAAGAAGATTCTTGACGACAACCCAGAACTCCAGAAGCAGTGGACATCGCTGATTCCTGTCGGCAAGATGGGACGTCCCGAGGACCTGATGGGCGCTGTCACTTTCTTGTCCAGCGACGCCAGCTTATACGTTACGGCGAGTAGTACCTAGATGCTGTTAACAAGCAGCTGCTAATCAATTAATGTAGGGTGCGGATCTCCGGGTTGACGGTGCTTACACCTGCACGTAAGCGCATGTGATAGAGAATAGTAGACTGCAGATACTTTGCCGTGTTCATTGTGGCGTTGGAATGCGTATGCGCCCAGTTACGCCCAGGTGGTTACAGATAGACGGCAATGATGAACCTCTTCACCTCTTTGTTACCCACAATTGCGCTTGTGACTTGATCTGCTGTGTGCTTGTGTCTCTCCATCGTAGCCCCAAACCCAGTTCCCCACAGCTGGTTGATGGCGGCCAGGCCATCCTAGACAAGATGGGCGCACTGTGTCTTAGTCATGGCCAGATTTCAGCCTCGCTGTGGCCGTGCGCTGTGGCAGGTGCAACACTCCACCCACCCAGTTCCCGCCCTGCATAAGCTCTAGGGCCCTTTGCAAGCCGACCAACAAGGGCGTCTCCTGTCGCGCAATGAAGCACAAACAGTGACTTGCGTCCGCTTTATACCGACTCTCCTCTGTCTCTGACCCGCGGCCGGGCCGAAGCCATGTTCAACATCTCGAACCTGGTGCAGAAGGCCCAACAGTACATTGAACCCACGCTCAACACCATCGCTGCTCCCGCATCCACAGACCGACGGCCCTCGAAAGCCACCCTCTTTCGCTACCAGTTCCGACTTCCCGACTCGCAGAATCCCCTCCAGGAGATCACCGCCGAGCTTACACTCCAACCCCACCACTCCACGAGGGGTAACGGCGACGTCACATCCGACAAGGACCGCGGCCAGGGCAACCATTATGTCGGCAAACTACATCTTAGCGAGCAGTATCTCTGCTTCTCAACGCAAGGCTCAAGCTTCATCAACACTGCGAGCTTGAGCTCCTCGAGCAGCTTCACAGGCCAGACCCACGGCGCGGGACCGGCGGGCAACGGTTTCACCCTACCACTATGCGGTATACGGCGCGTAGAGCGCCTGCACAGCCAGAGCTATATGTTTGCCCTCGCAATTACCACATGGAACGGCACACCAGACTCCAAGTCACAAGCACCTGCTGGGCAGAAGCTTACAATTCAGCTTGCTGGCTCGCGGCAGGCATGCGAGCGGTTTTGCGATGGCCTTAAGAAGGGCTTGAGGGAAGGTGTCAAGGAGGTAGAGAATCTACGCAAGGTGGTCGCTCAGTGCTACTCCGAGTATCTACTCACCGATGACGAGGGAAAGAAGCCGGGCGCGGATGGCAAGCCGGGGAGGGAACATCCAGATACAGGCTTGGGCATGATATTCAGATACCCTGGAAATGCAAGGAAACTCAGAGATGCGACAAAAATACGTCTCTGGCGTGAATACTTGAAAGGCAAGCTGAACTCAGTTCATGCACAAAAGCATTACTAATGTACAACAGACAACGGCCGAAGCGCAACCCTGATCCGACAGCCCACCTTCCACAAACTTATCCGCGTCGGTCTACCCAATCGTTTAAGAGGTGAAATGTGGGAACTCACGTCGGGGGCCTTTTTTCTACGCCTACAAAATCCGAACCTATATACCGAAACATTACAAAAATACTCTGGGCGAGAGTCGCTGGCTATAGATGAGATTGAGAAGGATCTGAACAGGAGTTTGCCCGAGTACCCAGGCTTCCAGAGTGAAGAGGGTATTGGCAGACTCCGAAGGGTGTTGACGGCATACAGCTGGACAAACGAAGAAGTTGGCTACTGCCAGGCGATGAACATTGTAGTCGCAGCATTATTGATGTATGTGTGCCCCTCGACGTGCAACTTCTTGATTCTAACAAATAAAGATACATGTCCGAATCACAGGCATTCTTCCTTCTCTCTGTGCTGTGTGATCGCCTTCTTCCCGGCTACTACTCGCAAACCATGTACGGCACCCTCCTCGACCAAAAGGTTTTCGAATCCCTTGTGGAGAAGACTATGCCCATACTCTGGGATCATCTCGTCAAATCTGACGTACAGCTATCCGTTGTTTCCTTGCCATGGTTTCTTTCGCTCTATATCAACTCTATGCCTCTGATCTTTGCTTTCCGTGTTCTAGACGTCTTCTTCCTCGAAGGCCCAAAGGTTCTCTTTCAAATCGGCCTTGCTATCCTCCGTATAAACGGTGAAGAATTACTCGACGCCGCAGACGACGGCTCTTTCATCTCCGTCTTGAAGTCTTACTTCTCTCGGCTCGACGAATCCGCACATCCAAAGTCGGAAAATCCCAAGCTGCGTGCTGTCACGCGATTTCAGGAACTCATGGTTGTGGCCTTTAAGGAATTTGCTGGCATCACGCAAAACACCATTTCGGAGCAGCGCGCCAAACATAAAGACGCTGTACTAGAGAATATAGAGAGTTTTGCCAAACGCACATCAATAAGGAACCTTGGTCCAGACAGCAAAAAGTTAAGTTTAAACGACCTGGGATTCCTGTACGATAGGTTCTACGCCGTACTCTACGAGCGACAACAACGAGCCGAGATTATGCAGCAAGAAGCTGAGCGTAAAGCAAAGGCTAGCAGGATGAAAGCGACTGAAGTCGTCACAGGTATTTCCGGCAGTGCGGAGAAGGGTCGAGTAGCGCTCGGGCCCAGTCCTACACAGATGGATTACGATGCCTTTAGAGAATTTCTTGCTGGTGAGTTGTCTGACAACTTTGAGCAATATTTGGGCACCCTTGCTAACGACCTAGTCAGGTATTGCAAAATGGGCCATTACCGACTCACCAACCTCTCCGCCTGAAGCCAGCAGTAACCAAAATGCACATTCATACTTTGGAAACAGTATGAGAAAACGACCGCCCATGTCCCCATGGGGCTCAGGACCAGAGCCTGCAGACCACGAATTCATGCGCCGCTTGTTCCGACGTTGGGATGTCGACATGACAGACTCATTGTCGCTGCAGAATGTTGTCACTGGCTTTGCCAATGTTAAGGGGACTAAAGACATCATGTCCAACATTAGCTACTTCTTTGAGCTTTACGACGATGATGGCGATGGCAAAGTAGATCGCGAGGGCATTCTGAGGATCTCAGAGGCCCTCTTGTTCTTATCACGGCGCGGCATACACGACCCAAGTCCTGCTGCTTCATCGCTCGACGTTAGTTCTGGGTCCGGCTCGGAGCGCGCTGGCCGTGATGAGCAGTTTTTGAGCAGCGTGTCTGCATTTATTCGCAATTGCTTTGAATATGCCGACCCTGATCACCCCTCGAACCAAGCAGGCCGAGATATGGATCAGATCAAGGACGACGTTGACAACTTTGCTATTGGCGACAGCGACGAAGACGACCTGATAGACTTTGGCTCCGAGCCTGGCACTCCAAAAGCAAAACCAGCGAAACTTGAAAAGTCGGAACATAATCCATTGTCGCCCACACCCTCTAACCGTACTATGGATTCTGATCTGGAAGGACGAAGCGAGAAAGCAAAGTCAGCAAATCTGGCGCTGGACCCTAACAAGCCTCTCCATATCACGCTGCCCACCTTCCGTATGGTCATTCTCGCAGATGAAGCATTACTAAACTTCTTTGAGGTTGGCTTCTCTTCATCGTTCCGCCTCGCTGATGAGACGCTTCCTTCGGCGTCTAGCTTCCACAATCTCACAACCTTTGCCAATGCCGGAAAGCAAGGTGGTGCCGCAGGCTTAGGTGGTGTTGTTGGTGGAGCTGGGGTCGGTGTTGTACCACCTGGCAAGGGGCTTCGAGGCATGCTTGACAATATTGTCAATGATGGCATGCGAGTTGCCACAGAGGTCAGAAGACGGTATGACGAGGCTCAAAAGGAACTGGACAAGGAAGCACGACATGGCAAGGATGACGAAGAGGAGGAGGAAGACGTAGATGCCAAGGATCTTGATCTGCTTGAAGGTGCTGAGACGGCTGGCGTGGGTGCATCAAAGGGCGAGGTTCCACCTGACTTGCTATCACCGACTGGCACAGGAGATGAGGAAATGAAGCCGAGAGATCGAACAGGGAGCGATGCTAGCAAAAAGGTACTTGAGTTTGAGCGATAACAAACACTTCACGAAACGAAGTTCTCGTTGACGGTTTGAGCATTTGGAGGTGTCATTGGGAGTTTTTTTTATATCGCACAGTCTACCACATCTTGCTATCTAGCGCTCAACTTTTGACCTCTTGATCTTACTCTCTTCTCATCGATGACCTTCCACTACCAAAAAAAGACTCGAGATATTCTCACATCTACCACAGCATCCTCTGAACCCAATCCCCCATCCCATCCATCACCCCCCACCCCCACGCATCCACATCCCTAAACACCACCAAATCCCCCTTAACAACCACCCCCTTCCCACTCCACCTCCACTCCGCATCCCCCAGCACCCCCTGATTCCTCAACCACCCCTTTCCCTGGAAGACCACCACCCTAAACCCGCCACCCAACCCCATAGGCTGCAACCCACTCTCCAGTATGCGCTCAAAATGATGCGTCTCAGGTATATGCATATTCCAGACTACAATGTTGACGGGTATCCCCGCTGCAGCGTAGGCTACGCGCGCGGTTTCCTCGATCAAGGCTGTTTGGCGCGTGCGCCCAATGGTGTCGAGATCGAAGGCGATTTTGTGGAAGAAGTTTGTTAAGGGGGCTGCGGGGGAGGGGAGGAAGGAGGGGAGGGTTGTGGCGAGGATGAGGGGGGCGGGTAGCATTGTGTTTTTTTGAGGTAGAAGGTTGGGAGGAGGGTTGAGAGGGGAGGGGGGGAAGAGGGGAGGCATAAGAGAAATAAGGATGGGGGAGGAGAGGTGTGGGTTGTGCATGGCGTGTTTGTGGTGGTGATTGGGGGAGATGGGGGCGGCTATGTATGTGTGTGATGCAGGTTGGAGGCACGGCGGTTAGTTTGATTGGAGGGGTTAGGGTGTAGAAGATTTTGTGTTTAGAGTTTTTGGGATGTTGGGGGGTTTCGTTTCTTTGATAGGTGAGATGGGTAGATGTTTTGGTGTGTTGTGAGGGCATGAAGTCTGATTTTGTTCATACCATGGTGGAGAACAGAGTGTGAGTGTTGTCACTATTCCGTGAAACGGTGTAACACGAAGTCTTCAACCTACAGTAGTTTCAACTGAAGTGTAAGAAAGAAGGCCTTGTGTATGTTTGAAACTTTTCATATCCTGCTATGTTGCTGCTGGGGATGTTAATCATTTATATGTGAAGCCTCTTGGTGGACCTGTTTGCAATTAGCCGCCTTCACCACCACGCATTCGTATACAGGAATGTTATATGCTGAAGTGCTAGAATTCTCCATAAAGACTAATTTACTAAAAGGAGAAAGTGTATAAATCTACAATGCGAGCGTGTAGGCGATCTTCTCCGGGGATTTTGGTCCAACAAGAGGGGGAAGCCACAGCCCGGAAGCTACCCCGCATGTCCGCCCGGGAGTGTGGACCGCGGCTCAATTCCGAAGAGCAGCACTGACTAGACACATCCATCTCGTCTCCACATAAGGCCGATGCCAGCCATGCCTGCCCTTCTTTTGTCTGGCTTTTTAATGCCCTCTTCAATTGAAGATGCTTCGGAAGCTCGTCGGTCGCGCTACAAGATGCCCTAAGCCTGTGCGAATTGCGCAAAGAGGGCTTCTCACGCAAGCATATAGCATTGGTCCTACCGAGGTACGTACTATATCAATTGAACCCTCTTCCTGTAGCTCTACATATCAGCTCTCGGCTTTGCTAATGGCATAACACAGCCTCCACTGCTCGAACAAACTGTTCCCCAGCACTTTGCAGGTGTTGTGAAGCAGTATGGTGACCGTGATGCGTGCGTGTACCTTGAATAACATCGATATCGTCCTGGCTAAGCTTCGTATAGGGTCATCTCACACCATCAGCGCATACGGCTGACGTACGATGGGCTGGATCGCGACTCGAACAGGTTATCAAGAGGATTACAGAATCTGGGAGTGAAGAAGGGAGATAGGGTTGCTGTGAGCTTGGGAAACAATATTGAATTTGCTACTGTATGTTGTTTGGGATTGTATGAGAAACGGTGGCTGACAACTACAAAGATTACGTATGCGCTTTTCAAACTGGGAGCAATACTGGTATGTATGCGGCTAGGAGTATGAAAGATTGATCGTAAACCAATTGATTTATAGGTACCCCTCAATCCTTCTTTTAACGCACCGCAAGTCCTAAACGCCATCAATCACTTAGACGCTTCCCATCTTATAATTGGAGCTGAAACAAACCTTCCACGAAAAGACCCGCGCCCCAACATCTCGTTACTTACACACTTGATACCTAATCTTGCCGGTTCAAAAGTCGAGTCGGAGCTCGTTCCTTCGCTAAAGAAGGTTGTGGTGGTGGACAATGCCCAAGGGAGGATAAATATGGACGAGTATAAGTGCCTGGGAAGATACGAGGATGTGATTGAGGATGGTGGCCAAGGTTTAGCATTGCAGGATCAAGGACTCGACCCTCATGATATTGTCAACATCCAGTTTACTTCGGGTACAACCAGTATGCCAAAAGCTGCATGCTTGACCCATAGGAGTATTTTGAATAATGGCAACAGTATCGGTGATAGGATGCTGCTGACAGAGAACGACATTATATGTTGCCCGCCTCCGTTGTTTCAGTGAGTCATCCTGTACAGGTTGGATTGTACAACTTCTAACTCTATGCAGCTGCTTCGGATGCATCCTCGGATACATGGCCACAGCAACTCATGGAAGCGCTATAGTCTTCCCCACTGAGGCTTTCAACGCGCTTGCCACCCTTGAGGCCGTCCGAGAACACAAGTGTACTGCCCTATATGGAGTTCCCACCATGTTTGTGGCGGAGCTCGAACTCCTCGCGAATGGTGCAGTACCATACGAAGGCTTCCAACACTTACGCACTGGAATCGCAGCCGGCTCTTCCATTCCAGCCGAGCTCATGCGCAAGCTTCATAAAATACTGAACCTGACGGAACTTACTATTTGCTATGGAATGACGGAAACAAGCCCAGTCTCAGCCATGACAACCACGGATGATCCTATTGAGAAGCGCATCAACACTGTGGGCCGGCTTCTCCCACATGTTCGCGCGAAAGTGGTCAACGCTTCAGACTGGTCGCAAACGCTTGACATAGGCCAGCGTGGTGAACTAGCAGTCTCAGGATATCTCCTTATGAAAGGTTATTGGGGCGACACGGCGCGCACAGAAGAAGTACTTCAACAGGACGAGGACGGCGTCATGTGGATGCACACTGGCGATGAGGCCTCCATGGACGAGGAAGGTTACATCAAAATTACTGGAAGAATCAAGGATCTGATTATTAAGGGTGGAGAGAATATTCATCCTCTTGAGGTCGAGAACTGTCTTTTCGCTCATCCAGCCGTCAGCGAAGTCAGCGTCATCGGGCTACCGGATGAGAGATACGGCGAAGTTGTTGCAGCTTTTGTCGTAAGACATGCTGGAGAGGATGGCAAAGTAACAGCCGATGAGGTGAGGACTTGGGTCAGAGAGAAGCTGAGCCATCATTTGGGTAAGTAGACATCAATACTGAAGACGGCATAGCAAGCTGACATAGAGAAGTTCCGAAATATATCTTTTGGGTAGACAATTATCCCAAGACGGCGAGCGGCAAGATCCAAAAATTCAAGCTTAAGGAACAAGGCATTGCGCTGCTGCAAGAGGGCCAAGGGTTGAATTAAGAGCATTTGATATCGCGCTGGCTGTCCCGCATCGTTCTAGGCTATTTAATTACCGTTTCCCATCAAAGATCGCCATAATTCTATGGGGCGGACTCTTTCACATACCAGGAAGAGTAGCCAATTATGTAGGGCTATGAACTCAATGCGGAAAACTCACGATGCAAGACAATGCGATAGTCATATTCGAAATGTTTAGTACTGTAACAACAATCTATATCTTTGTCCCATCAGGCGCCCCGCCGGAATATGGATCGCATTTTGGCGCAATGGCAGGGGTACTAGTGCAGTGGTACTTTATAGTGCATGTAGGCGAGGGGATGCTTACCAATTACACTTCAGCTTATGACATCACATGCATAGGTAGGTCTGACTGAACATTAGCGGTAAGAGCATAGTATCAATTAAGTGCTATGAACCGAAAAGATCTGCTCAGCGAACGGTAATTAGGTCTTATTCTCACATGATCATCTTGCCTCAATCGTTCTCTCGTGCCATGTTTTGATCGTATTAGTCCACAATCGAGGAGATCAACGGCAGAAACCCCATCGATCTTTTTTTCCTTAGCATGCAGGATCTATGCAAGCCCAGTCAACATTGACTTACCGAGTCGCTTATATTGTGACCAAATTCATCGGCTATCTATATCCATCTAACATTCTTTTTTTTCTTAATTTTCCAGGTACACCGCCAGAGAGGTTCGTCAACCAACATTGCTCTACCTACTGCCAGTATATCAACATCGTCGCCAACGCCGTTGTTGAAATACAGATATAAATACGAATCTGCTAGAAATGTCAGAACTAACAAACACCCGTGTGCCCACACCCTCCAACCCCTCAAATCTGGCCCCACGCTACGAAATCCGAAAACTGAAGCCGGTCCACCTCCCCTGGGCCACCGCCATCCTCACCCACAGCCACGGCTTCTACTCGAATGTCTGGCAGAAAATCTGGCCTGACCGCGACCTCGGTCGCTGGGTCGTCGAAAACTCCCTCAATTTCGAATACCTAGTCCGCCACCAAATCGACTCCGGCCTCTCCTTCGGCGTCTTCGACACAGAATACGTCTTCAAGACCGACTCCGCCCGCGCCATCGGCGGCGCCCTGCTCTGGGACGTGGACGAACTCGCTACACAGAGTGTAGAAAAAACGCAAGGCCGCGCAGCAGAAGGGAAGCGGTTACTAGAGCAAATGGACTTCCCACTCGTAAGCATAATGCTCAGCTACGACGGCTTCAAGCCGCTTGACCCCGAGAAAATGAAACCCTTACTCGCCAATTGGTCGGAGTTTCCTATCCTCTACGGCGCGCTCGAACAGCGGGATCGGCGGGATCCGGCGTCGTGGAAGCCTACTGCGCCGCGCCAGGTGCTCATGCGCAATGCGACGTCCACACGGGGCGACTATGAAGGGCGGGGTATCATGGGGGCTGGGGCGCGGTGGCTGCAGCGTGAGGCGGCGCTGATGGGGTTCCGAGGGATTCAGATTGAGGCGATGGCGGATCGGGTGATTCATGTTTGGACGGAGGGTGTGCAGAAGCCGTTTAAGGGGACGGTGGTAAGTGAGTTTGAGTGTGAGACGCTAGAGGTTGATGGGGAGAGGCCGTTTGAAGCGGCGAAGCAGAGGGTTATTAAGGCTTGGGTTGACTTGACAGCTTGAGGGAGATGGGAGGGGGATAGTCTTGCTTCCTTGGGATAGCATTGACTTCGAATTGGCTTGTTGCTGCTTCGATAGATCTAGGTTTCGAGTTTGCTTAATCACTATGTCGGGCTAGATACGGCGGCCCATAGAGTGGAGAACAGAGAATGAAAATCTGTGAATCCAGTTGCTGTTTCGTCGAGCGCCTAAGTTAACGGAATTGAATATGCAATCAAAGGTGCCGTCCTCTTTCCATACGGCGGGAAGGATTCCGGCTAGCATGGCACTTGGTATTCAATACTGCCATTGTCAATGAGTAACGACGGCCTTTTGAATGCTTCTCGGGAATCAAGGACACTTGAAACAGCAATGGGGTAATGCTCAAAATAATACATATCGTCACTGCGAAATCTTAGTTTTTCAGGCCGAACGTCAACTATTATGGATCCGTGTAATGCCATACCCAATACTATGATATAAGGGATCTTCATATTCCGAAAACGATTGTTGTTCGGTTTCAATATAGCAATGAGTTTGGTTACTGTAATATCCCGTCTTGACCCGACGTAAGTGATCCTTCTACTAGTCATCCCTAGTTACATGTAAGTATCCCACTGAAACACTAGCGAGGCTTGCTATCAATCAAACAAACTGCTGGTTTGTTCTTTGAGAATACTCAAATAGTTCGTTTTCTATAATATACGCTTCAGCGTCCCCTATCATGCTGGCCCGGGATCCTGCCATATTCACTTTAGCGTGATGTAATATGCTGTACTAGCTGGAACCAGGACACCAGGCGGTCGCACCATGTACTACTAGGCAGCAGCTGTGTCGTGCACTGCCCCGTCGCCCGAAAAGCAGGATGCTTCACCAATCAACCAAATCTTTACCGTGTTCCTAGCTTACTCGGTCTTTTCAACTCTTCATGTCCTGGCTGTTTTCGTAACCCTGGCCAACCAGAAGCCAAGCAACTTAATCCCACTATGAGGCTTTTGAACACAGAGACTCTTGAACTTAGCCGTGCCTATGTGCCGAGCGAGGTTCCAGACTACGCAATCCTTTCTCACCGGTGGAGCACTGAAGAGGTCACATTTGCAGATATAAGCAGCGCACCCATTCTACACCCTCAAAGCCAGACGCAGACGAAAAAGGCTTTGCGAAGATACAAGGAGCTTGCAAGCTAGCCCTCAAGGATGGATACGCTTGGATCTGGGTTGACAGTTGTTGCATCGACAAATCTAGTTCGGCTGAGTTGCAAGAAGCGATCAATTCCATGTGGAGATACTACGCAGAGTCAAATATCTGCTACGTTTATCTAGCAGATGTTCCCGATGCAAGACTAGGCTGGAGTTCGATATTTGCTATAAGCGAATGGTTTACACGTGGTTGGACGTTGCAAGAGCTGATTGCCCCAATATGTGTCGAGTTCTTTGCGGAGAATTGGGCCGCCATCGGTACGAAATTCGAACGTTACAAAGAGATTGCAGACATTACCTCAATCGACCCAGACGTTCTTCTTCGTGTTCACACTGTTGACTCTTTCAGTGCGGCAGAGAGATTGTCATGGGCCTCGCATCGGAATGTCACTAAAGAAGAGGATGAGGCATATTCGCTCCTGGGTTTATTTGACGTCAACATGCCACTTCTATATGGAGAAGGGCGGGAGAAAGCCTTCTTCAGGCTCCAAGAAGCTATCTACAATGCCACAGCCGACCACTCGATGTTCTTATTTCGCCATAGCCAACATAGATATGACCAACCTCTATTGGCCAGTTCCACGACAAGCTTCTGCAACAAACTGGATTGCTTTCTTTGTTCCTCGCGAGAAAATCGGAATCCACCCTCGAGTTTTCGATACTGCGATATTGTTGCATCTGAGAGGTGGAGCACGCAAGCACATGAACAAATCATGACAACTGTTACCACGTTCCGTAATGAAATATCCACCGTGCTTCCGCTGTTGGTTTATGAAGATGTTTCCAGCAAGCTGGAAATTTTGGATGGAGCGACACCACCAGTCGGTGTAACCCATGTAGCGGTACTCAATCATACTCTAAAAAAGTATCCACAGGGTGCATTTTGTCTCCTGTTGCAACGACAGTCTGGTGTGGATGCATGCCTCCGCTTACAAGCCCTTCCGGCTGTTTTGCCTTATCTTGGGGACCTCGTGTCTCGACTCCAAAAGACAAAACTACTCATTTGTCCAGAACCGGGTGACATAGAAGATGAAGTTCTCATCGAAACCACTTTTTCTTTTCACAGTGATTTGTTCGGTGTAGAAGCATGGGATGCGAAAAGTGGCAACAAACTGTCCGCGCTAACACGAGTTGGAAAAGATCAGGATTTCAAGATACTAACAGGGAAACTTGATGATATCCCGAAATTCCCACTTCAAGTATCGTGTCAAATTTTTGGTTTGCAGGATCCAAAACTGCTGCTCACTATCCGATTAGTTCGAGTACATGGAATTTGGTCCATCAAAGAGATATTTGACCGAAGCAAACGCAGCAAGAAACGAAAACTGGACAACCTTTTTGTTTCTACTATCCTTACTGATCGGTGTGCAATTCATCCTCTGGATGGAGAAATAATATCGGTGAAACTTCGACCTTTACCTGGCTCCGCTCGTACTCCTAAAGGCTCTCCCATAAAGAACTGCTATCAAATCTCAATAGACTATCAATAGGCAGTCCTGTAGCATTTTGAATACATCCTTTTACCAAAAGTCTATTAAACAGTTTGAGTGTTGTATAAGCTATTTGCTTGAACTTAACCTTGAGCCTTATTCAAGAATAGGAAGCGAACAGACAACTGAATCAAAAGGTTTTAGAACAAGACCTTTTTAATAATGCAACTGCTTTACGATACGTCACTGACAGAAGTTGCACTGCGGATTGACTGCAATATAGTGTATTGACTATCACATTTTGTGTTGCACTGTAATGTCACTATGAGCAATGACACTGACATATTCGCAAATAAGCATATCCCTCAATATGCAAGAGAGTTGCCACAACTATTCTAGCTTGGTATATTTGGGTAAATGATGCTGATAGTGGTGTATAGTGAAGGTCCGTTCGCGAACCAGATACTGTGCATCAACTAGGAAGACATATCAATGTGATAACCCTCTACGGAATCATAACCACTACAGTTTATAGGTGCTTGGAATGTTATCAACATGAAAGAATTCAAGCATACGATGTTCTCTACAAAGGCATATTATGGGACTATCATTGTTCATAGATAGTATTGAACTTGGAAGATGTCATTCTTTGACTCTCATTTGGTTCCCTTTTTCCTCACGTTTGCTATATAATTAGAGAATGATTCTGCGGTCTCATGGAAAGTGATAGTCAGATCAACCAACTCAAGGGAGGAAATGAATCAATTGACTGAAGACTAGTGTCCGAGTCAACAGTAACTCAAGTCCCATACAAGATGACTCATCAGATTGAGTCACAACTGGCGGCCGGACCTCGAACAATTGAGGCTCTGCTCAGTATATTAACTTATGAGGTTCGTTAGCAAGTCTAGATTCCAAGTGACTGATTCATTTCCCAAATTAGGGATAAAGCGCGCATACATATGCAGTATGCATAACAAGGTGAGAGGCGTGTGACACAACCTGGCGTAAGAATACACTTACACAGTTGCGCAATAGTCCTAGATTATGAGTCCTTCATTCGCTATTGCCAAACTCACACTGCATTCGACTAACCTTCTCAGATCCGTCAAAAGCAGTACGCTTAGCAAACTTCCCGAGACTTGTGGCGTACATCCCCACCCCGGTACAGAAAGGATAGCCGTTCAGGATATGGAGTATCTCCACACTCTTGTATCTTAGAAGAACGATAGAAAGCACAAAAGTTACTTTCAATGTTTTTGCTACGCTGTACTCAGCCGGTCGGTCGAAAGGCAACTACGTAGAGTACTGCCTAAAGTCGCCTAATCTACCTGACACTCCTTCCGTGGTTGGTACACACTTTACCGATCAACTAATCCACATCTTTACAGCTGAACCAGTCTCATGATCCCACGCATCACTCCAGGCTTCTACGGATAGAATAACGATTTGGCGTTTTACCACGTGGGGTACATTAATGTGGAGACTGCACACCACTCCGCATGCAGACGCCGTTGTCGTTTCACAGCGACACCGTAACGACAGGAATTACTCCAAGATCGAATGCGAAATATGGTATCGTGACGAGTCCCGGAGTATGCACTGAAAACGGCGCATACATGAAGTTATGCAGGTAGCAGTGGCAAAACGCAATGTAAGCGCAGCAACGTCGCTTTTGAATTGCGCATTTGCGATTGGTATTTGAGACTTCTAGTCATATGGAATATGGGTTTAGCATACACTGACTGTTACTCGTGGCCAATGAATTGATTACTCGGAAAGCCAACCCAATCATACATGTCAATCGATACCAACGGCACGGCATTCCGATACACTCTCAACCTTGTGACCGGGTGGTGCAGAGCTCTTGGGCAGCAAGCTGAGATGCAAGGCTGAGTCGGCAAGACGCAAGATGAGCTGTTCAAACCAATCAAAGGATCGCAGTGGCGCTACGTCATGCAACTTGAAAAGCGAAGACTCGCACTTGCGACATAGGCGCTCGTCTGCGGCCGCCGCTTTTACACAGAAGGCAATTCTACTGGCTCTCTTCGTCCAAAGCTTTAATACACCAATAATTGTTGTAATCATTACTTCTTCCTTCAGCTTTGCGTCACGATATGCCCTTCTGTAGGTATGGTACGGGCTTCTTATTGGCCAGTGAGCGAGGCACTGCAGCTGACACTCCATGTAGGTGTACGCAACGCTAGATAAGCCTGCAAATGCGTTGAAAGAGGGACTCTTGCTCTGATAGTTGGTTCTGTGCAAATGTGCACTCAAACGAACGAAATTGTCATGGGACCAACTCGATAAAGTCACGATTAAGGGGGTGATTCCGCGATACTCTCATCGTCTCCTAGGCCAATGGGAGGATTGGATCGTACACACACCTGTAATTCGCGTATCACAACCTGCGAGTCACGGCTGCAGGTGAACAGGGGCTCCCCATACCCACACCCGGTTAACCATCTGCTTTTTCCTTCCGCTCCTAGCGTGTCTTCACCGGTGACCTCAGGCATCACCAAAAGATCTGGAAATGGATAGCATTGCAGCAAACTAGACTCCAATTGTCGTTTTTTCGCCACTGTCAGAGAACCTTAAGTCGACATCATTCCATCATTTATACTTTGAGATTTATCATCGGGCTGCAAGGTGAAAGGGAGGAAGTAGAAGGCAATCAGTCGGAGGCCATAGAAGTTTCAGGACGTGGCCATGCAGTTGATAAAAAACAAACGTGGACTTGGGATAAGACTAGTCGACTAGTTGCATCCGGCTTGGCTAGATCCCTTAGCCTGATTGAATAGTGGCAAGCCTCTTCATTCTCTTGCGCAGAAGCTGAACAAGACGGTGAATGATAATCCATGATTGACATATAGCACGTCTAGTCCTCTGCAAGCCTGTTGTCCATTTATCCAATCATTTCGATCGATCACTCATCCACAGTGTCATGATTTTGTTCATAGGCCATACTTGACTCGTTCGAAGAAGCTGCGCTGTAGGTGCGTGTGTCAGAAACCAGATAATCGGCTTGGTTGAAGGTTGTGCAAGTGTAAATATGTTGTATAGGAGGAAATCTGTGTCCTTGTTCTGAAACTTATCCCTGCACAGTGTGATACGCAGAGTTACATCAGGGACGGGGTTCAAGGGACATCGCTAGAAGGCCACAGATGCCTCACTTCTGTGCAGGCTGAAACTAAGATAACGCCTCATTCCAAATGGTCAAAATCGAGTATCACAGGAATACCTTTAGACACCGTGCAGTGATGGCACTTGTTGGGAAAGATAGGCTTGTTCCACGATGACCCATGCAGTAGCAGGTAGTAACGTGGTCGAACCAAAACTCTACACCTGTAGCATGGCCAAGCCGCGTTGTTGGGATCTGAGCAAGGAAAATTGATTCTACTATACAGTATAGAAAACAAATATTGTGACAACACATCTCTTATGGAAAACTTATGCCCTGTTCTCATGTTAGCCGGCTAACGCTGTCCGATTAAAAGAAAAGCGACCGATAAGAACGCTACCCAAATAAAGAAAGTACAAGCCTATGTGAGGCTACGTGTGCAACGAAAATCCGAAATAGGGGGTGGTTCGAGTCGAAACCTGGATATCTCTGTGTATAGCATCAGAAAACCTTCGATAGCAGACAGGTGATTTTCCTTGGCTCGACTTGAGTGTCTCCTGGTGATTCTACCCGCCATTGTGCTGGAGGAATCGATGAGAGAAATGCATCTCTCGTCTGAGATATTCGTCTCCTTGATTGGAACTTTGTGAAATTTGAGGTTCGATCAGAGTCTTGATGGTCCCCCAAGGCAACTTGTCTGAAGGTGCGCCTATCGTATGATAAGGTCTCAATGGCCTAGTCCCGTTTTTGCGTGTTTCTTGCGAACTAGCTTTGGAGTCGCGGCGATTCTGGAAATCCATTTTGTGAGGAAAACTGTGACACGACTGGCGTGTTCGTAAGATTTGCAGCCCAGTCGGTGCCGAGGAGCTACTGAAGTTCCTTTGTAGGCGACTTTTCTCGCTAATGAACGGTCCATATATTTCGAGATCTGTGCCACCGTAGACTTCACTATCTTTCCAGTACGGGCATTTCCGATACGGCGCCTTCTGAGCAATATTTTGCTCCCCTTGAAACTCTGTCGAATCCACCAGCAATCTTTTGGAAGGCATCTCCTTGTGCCTTATTGCGATAAAATCATGAGAGAGAGAGAGAGGACTAGAACCAGTAATGTCTTGCTCTTGAGATTTGCCATGAGTACCCTTCGAATTGTTGCTTTCGAATTGCGC